TGCTGTTGGTGTTTTGGTTGGAATTACCTTAAATCCATTATCATTCCTAGTAATGTGGCCATTCTGACTATTGATTCTGCCTCTCCAGGAACAGATGTCTTTTCATTTTCTAATGTCCTCGTCCAGTCTCGCTCCTCAGAGCACTTTACTTTTTGTTACAGAGGTCTTTCATTTCCTTTGGCAGGTTACTCCCTAGGAGTTCATTTTTCTTTTCTTAGGCTACTGTGATAGCATTATTTTTCCAGTTTCTTTCTTTATAGTTCGTTACTGTACAGGAAGACTGTGGAGTTTTGTGTGTTACTTTTGTATCCTGCCAAATTTATGCAGTTTCTTTACTAGCTCTGAGAGTCTTCTAAGTACAGACTTTTAGGTCTTTTAAAGGTTCATATTGTCCTCAAATAAAGGTCGTCTGACTTCTTAGTTTCCTTTTTTGGATCCCTTTTATTTCTTTTTCTTGCCTGATTACTCTGGTTTAAAATATATTGAACTGGAGTGGTGAGAGTAGACCCTCTTATCTGGTTTCTGATTGTGGAGAGAATGGTTTCAGGTTTTCTACATTTAATATGTCAGCTGTAGGTTTGTCATAAATGGCTTTTATAGTCTGAGGTGAGATCCTTCTGTACCGGTGATGGTGAGCCTTTTATAGACCCAGTGTCCAAACTGCAACCCAAAACCCACTTTCTTATTGCAAAGTGCCAGCAGTGTAGGTAAACTGGAACCCTGAGGTTTTAGTTGAGATAAAACAACTCATATAGTAACATCTTTTGTCTTAAAAGATACCAATAACTTTTATTGAAAGGTAAGAGTTTGCACTTGGTGTGCTTTTGCACAATTAAGGTGATCTTTGCTGTTGTGTGCATGCTAATAATTTGTCAAATCTTGGCTTATACCTCTTTAATTTGAAGTAACATGCAGCACTCAGGTCATCTGTTAGTCTGTTTCTTATATCAGATTTGGTGTAATTTAAAGCTGAAAACAGTTGCTTACAAACATAAGATGATCCAAACAGAAGAAAAGCAATCCTAATTGCTTTCATTGACTTAAAATTATATGGCAGGGAACTCCACACTTCAAGGGTTTCATTTTCACGTTCTGTGTCCTTCCTTCACACTCTATTCTCTGGGTTCTCAAGTGTTGCATACAGGCTACAGAATTTATTTTTCTACATCAAGCTTTCAAAAAATTCTAATAGTTCCCATTTCCAGATTTCTAAAATCTAACCAATGTAAGCAAGAAAGATCAAGGTCTTCAAATTTGGCTTTATCTGAAGAAGTAAGAAAACACAGAGTTGTCTCATCTTACAGAACTGTGAAAATCTGTTACTAAAATTCTCCTTTGCAGCTGCTGCAATGCTAGAAAATTCCATGTAGTTTTCCTGATAGCACAAATTGCTTCCTGATGGCTTGTAGGATTGTCTACAAATGTCATAGGATTTCCCAAATGCACTTTAAAAAATTTTTTAAACATTCTGTTTTACTGACTTTTTTTTTTTTTTTTTTTTTTTTTTTTTTGGTAGTAATTAGGATTGAACTCATAGCCTTGTGCTTGCCAGGCAGGCTCTTACACCTCTGAGCTAACTCCCCAGACCCCAAATGCATTTTTAGATTTGGAAAATATTTTACCTGCCCACTTTCAAGGTATCTTTTAAAACCTGGAGTTTTCTCTCAAATGTTTTGGTATCATAAAGCATCCTTCCTGCTGCTTCCCTGCACTGTGTAGTTCTTATTCAGTACACTGAAGTATAAAATCCTTAAAGCCCATAAGCTTGTTAAGCCAGGCCATTTCAGTGAGCTTTGGATATTCCTGCCCTTTCATTCCTAAGCAGCATAATTTCATCCATTCAGGCTACAGATCTCTCCAGGATTTGTCCACTACTCAGCCACCAGACATTACTATATATAAGTAAAGCATTATACTGTGCCTGAACCTCATCAGCAAGTGCTTGAAACTGTCAAAAATTAAGAGCACAAGCCATGAAGATGTCACTTAGCAGAAATACTGTTAAAGATCGAGGTCATGTACATGGCAAATGATGTTAGTCAGCAACTCATCAGATTTACCAAAGGCAGCCATGTACTTGAATAAAAGAATAGATACAAATGATCATGCAAGGCTACCAGTAATTTTGTATTATGTTATTGGTGACATCATGAGAGAAGATCTGGTGAAACTAGTGTCTTTGCCTGGAAGAACACAGGACATAGTATCTACAGTGTTGTGATGGAGGCTTTTTTGGTCACAAAACAGAAGACGCAGAAAAAGAAGTTTCAATTACTAGTAACGGGTCACCTTGCATGGTGGGGGCAACATCTGGTTTTATACAGTGTTTTGTTAAAGAAGCAAAACACCCAGTCATTCTGTTTCATTGTACGTGGTACGTCAGCTCACAAACACTTTTGCTTGTGAACAACTGGATTTGCAAACAAAAGCATTTGGCAAAACTTTGTTTTTGTTTGCAAACTTTACATTGGGTGACAGACATGATTGTGGCCATCTTTCCTACACAAACACAAACAAGGCCATCTTTTCCAAAATTGTGGAACAAATTAAGTTCATGAACAGAGATGCATTGTGTAATTTTGTCCTTGTTGGGGAAATCATGAAAAAGGGAATTACTCCCAAACAACACATCCATTTTGATAAAATCCCCATCAGAGAAAGACATTCTGCTATGTAGAGTGAAATTTGAAAGCTGAGAGTTGTCAGATTTGTTTTAGAAAGACAGTTGCAAAAAGTAAGATATTGAGAATGATATTCCCTTAATTTACCTTCAAGATACACTTTCCTTTCAGTTTCATCAAGTTCAGCAATACTTTTGTGGTTGGTGTCAAACGACCCACACTGTTTCCACTACACGGAGTACGTAACACTTTCCCACTGCAATCAGTCACTCCAGCTGACTCCGTGCAGGCCTCGTGGAATGACCTTCTTCTGTTTTCAGTTTTACACTTCTTTTCTTTCTTTCTTTTTTGTTTGTTTTGTTTCGTTTTGCTGTAATCATTTTTTGTTGTTTAAGACTTAGAGTCTACAAAAACAAAAATTTTTTTGAAAATACACATCTATCCCTATACCCAAAATCGCTAATGCTATTAGTTAAAATTGAGAATTGGATATTCCCTGAATCAACAATCTATGGCAGTGAATCTCAGCTGGGGTTCTTGAATTTTCTGGCCCCACGGCAAGGAGGCATTGTTCCATGACCACTAGTTTTTGACCTATTCTGAAAAAGGCATCTGGGTGCATTTCCTACCTTGTGGGACATTCTGTGAAAATCACAGCCAGTCCAAGCAAATATATATGTATATATCCTTGTTCTTGTTTTCATAAATTGTTCACAGACAACTAAATATGCTGCAGCAAATATGCCAGGGAGAAAGCACAACATTAAAAGAATCTCAGTTTCTTAATTAGCATATCTCTTTGCTAAATCTTAAAGATATTAAGTTTCAATTTTTTGTAAGAAAACTCAAAGCTAAAATCTTGTTGGTAAACATGAATGTGTTAAAACTCACAGCCAGTCCAAGAAGATAACGATCTCATCTGTCTGTCTTTTGTCCATCCTTCCATCTAGCCAGCCATCCTTGGTAGCACACCAACTGGGAATGCAAAAACTGGACAAGTCACAGCCGATAAGTTCCATCTTGGGATATCAACACTTGGTGCCACTACCCCTTTCTGACATGCACATGGCCCCTCTGTGCCCTGTTATCCACTGCACAGCTGCCGGGACAATGCTGGGGTGGCTTGGGTTACGTTCTAACAGCGTGCCAGAGATACACCACTGTTCTGTAGCTATTTTCCTCAGAGGAAAACTTGAAAGGTTTTTTTTATTTATTTGTTTTTTGTTTTTGTTGTGAATGAATGTTGGATTTTGTCAAAGTCTTTTTCTGCATCCATTGAGATAATCACTGACTTTTATCCATTTATGTGGTATATTACATTTATTGGTTTATGTACATTGTATCATTCTTGCTTCCTTGGGATAGAGTCAACTTAGTCATGTTATATGAGCTTTTTGATGGTTAGTTGCGCTCTGTTTGCAAATATCTTGCTGAGGATTTTTGCATCTGTATTAATTAAGGATATTAGCCTGTACTTTTCTTTTCCGCTGAGTCTTTGTCAGTTTTGGTGTCAGAGTAATGCTAGGTTCAAGGAATGAGCTCAGCAGTGTTCCTTTCCTTTTGATCTCATTGGTGTTAATTCTGTTGTGATGTTCTGATAAAATTCAAAGGTAAATGATCAGGTCCTGGGCTTTCCTTGGTTGGTAAAGTTTTTGTTATTATTTCAGTTTTAGTTGCCTTTACTGGTCTATTCAGAATTTTTACACTTTTTTGGTTTATTTGATAAGTTATATGTGTCTGGGAATTTTATCTACATTCTCTAATTTATTAAAATATAAGTTTTTAAAATAATTTATTATAATCTTTTGGATTTCAATGATGTCTGTTGTGATTTTGCCTCTTTCATTGCTAATTGCATTGATATAGGAGCCTTCTTTCCTTGTTTTGGTAAGTTTAGCTAAGGGTTTACCAATCTTATTTATCCTTTGAAGAACCAACTGTGATCTGTTGATCCTTTGTAATTTTTTTAGCTCTCAATTTTATTGATCTTCACTATGATCTTTGTAATTTTTTTCCTTCTACAAATTTTGGATTTGGATTGCTCTTGTTTTTCTAGGTCCTTTAAATGCATCATTAGGTTATTTATTTAGGTTTGTTCTGTTTTTATAATTTAGGCATTTACAGCTATAAAATTCACTCTTAGAACTGCTTTTATTGTGTCACTTAGGTTTTAGTCCATTGTTCTGCCATTGTCATTTGATTCTAAAATGTTTTAATTACTTCTCTGATTTCTTTTATGATCAGTTGATTATTCAGGAATTCACTGTTTAATATTTTACTCTTGATGTCTATCTTCATTCAGCTATATTCCAATAGCAATCAAGAGATTGTTTTGTTAGGGCCAACGCCGCAGGGAAAGAGACCCCAAGGACTCAGCTCTTGGTGAGGAAAAGAAAGTTTATTTCCATGCGCATGGGGTCCCTCAGGCAAACGTGTGCGGAGGGGCCCCGAGGGGAATTTGTGCAGGGTTTTTAAAGGTACACGCAGGAGGCAAGCAAGTTTACAGAAGCAAATCGCATTGGTTAATTTTGAGCGGCGCAGGACCTGGCTAATGCTGATTTGAGGGTCTGGGGCTGAGTAACCATGGAGACCGAGGGTCTTGGGTTGACCTTAGAGTGCCAGGTGCTCCCTGGTCCTGTTTATACAGTACATTCTTTTGCTTATCTCTATCTTTACAAAGAACAGAACATCTAGTGGCTAATGACTAGCAGAGACATTCCTTTTGGCCCCGCTCTGACTATCTCCTGGGAAAAGGTTTAGGGAGTGAAGCACTCTTTACTGCTCTGTTTTGATAGCTCTGGGAAGTTAGGGAGTCAACTCTTTTATTCCCCGCTCTGGGGAGTTAGGGAGTTAACCCTTTCATTCCCCGCTCTGGGGAGTTAGGGAGTTAACCCTTTCATTCCCCGCTCTGGGGAGTTAGGGAGTTAACCCTTTCATTCCCCGCTCTGGGGAGTTAGGGAGTTAACCCTTTCATTCCCCGCTCTGGGGAGGGGGTTGTAGCAGGGGGGTCGACTCTCACACTCCCCCCTTTTATTTTTCCAATGACTTTTAATCCTAAAGGTCCTGTATAGGTAAGGGGTCATATTGTTGGCGTAGCACCATAACTTTTACCTGAGAGATCTGAGCCCTCACAAATTGGGTTACTCGGTTAATGAGGCAAGGGGCTATAGCCATGACTATAATGAATCCGGCCAGGGGTCCCAGTAAAGGGAGAACATAGGGCAGGATTGATTCCCAGAAGGAAAACATTTTGGCTTCACTTGAAGGGGGCTCTCGAGATTTGATTCTCTCTCTCAGCTTTTCCATTGCGTCTTTTACAATCCCAGTATGATCAGTGTAGAAACAACATTCTTCTCTAAGTGCAGCGCAGAGACCGCCTTCTTTTAAAAATAGAAGATCTAAGCCTCTTCTGTTCTGTAACACTACTTCAGATAGAGACGAGAGAGATTGTTGTAACGCAGTTATAGAAGTTTCTAAGGCCTGTAAATCTTGGTTTACTACTGCAAGAAGCTGTTGGCGAGACTGATGCCCAGTAATGAGGGCTGCTGTGCCAGTTCCTATCCCCCCCGCCACACCTATCCCCAATAGGACTGCTAGGGTCAGGGAGACAGGTTCTCGTTTATATCGACCTCCCATGAGGGGGAGTGTGTTAGGGGGGAGATATTTAATGCGTGGCATAAGGTCTATAAGGATGCAGGAGCTGCTGTCTGCAAGGAGGACGTTAGTGGAGACACAAGGAGTGAGCCCATTGGTACATAGCCAAAAGGCTCCAGTAGGAGGGACGAGGTACTGATCTTTGGGAAAGGAATTAGTGTGTGTGAGGCAAAGATGTTGCAAGCTTGTTGGTCAGTTATCAACTGCTCCTATACAAGTTCCTTGACCAGCGAGGCCAGGAAGGGGGAGAGTGTGGTATACTTGATTCCAATCGCATTGGCCGGGGTTGGGGGTTAGTGTATAAGAGTCATTTAGAGCGGTTCCCTCATAATACGGGGGATTAGGACTTAGACATAGCCAACAGGATTGGGGGAGATCAGGTCGGGTATGATTTAAAGCCATGTATGCTCCTTTAATCAAACTGAGTAGGTTAGAATGTGAATATTGAGGGACAGGTACGTGATCTGTCTGGAGTAGCGGAGCTTGAGAAACTGTTATGGCTGAGGGACTTACTATGGTTGTTTGAACAGTAGTAACAGGATCTATAGTAGGCTGATTATATTTTGGCTTTAGAGTAAAGTTTGGGCCTATGGGCACAAATGGGGCCTGCAGGGGAACCTTTTTTATAAGAATAAGGCTTCCCCTGTCTTTACCTGGCTCATAGACTCGAAGTCCCCAGGTGCGTCCTGTCAGCCAACCTGGGTCCTCAGGAGTGGTGACAGTGATATTTAGAACCTGACAGGATCTCTGACCAGCCGGTGGGTAGTTATCTAGGCTGCATCCCGGCGGCCCCCATGTCATTTTAAGGTGTTTATCGGGGAAGGCGGGTTGCCACCCTGTTGCAGCGGTTTCACAGCCCCAATAAGCACAAAAATATTCTCCTGGGGAATTACAATATGATCTACTCCCGGTTGGTGCGGGACAAAGATAAAAATGACTTTGTTTGGGACATTGGAGCCCTGGAAAGAACCAACAGGGTGTGGGCGCAAACCATGGACTTCCTGATCCTTCCCAGGTGCTACCCACACGTGAGTCCCCCCATCGTATTAACGACCATTTCCAGGGGCGATGGGGGCTAGCTACAGTGGGGATTATTAATATAAGTAATCCCATTAGAGCCCGGAGGGTTAAAGTCTGGGGTCCCATACGGGTCATCTTAGAGGGACACATAAGGGTAGTACTCTGAATAATCTCAGGGGGTCCTTCGGCGCAACTTTAGCTTCAGGGGGTTATCAGACCGTTTGAGTTCCCAGGAGCCGTCCACTGGTGCCGAGGCAGGCTTTAGGTGTGACGCGTGGATCCAAGAGGCGACTCCGTCAACCTTTACCGCTGTAGGAGTAGTCAATAGGACCTGATACGGTCCTTTCCAGCGAGGCTGTAGAGTCTCTTGTTGGTGGCGCCGGACGAACACAAAGTCTCCCACCTGGTACGGATGTGGCGCGGGGAACTCACTGGGAGCATAGGCCGAGGCTAGCTGCGTCCACACGTCCCTCTGCAGGTTGTCAAGGGCGATGAGCCTGTCAGACAGGGAGGTTGGCAACAAGGCAGCATGCTCAGTTAAGGGAGTGAGATCTCGAATGGGGGGTGGAGTGCCAAAAAGGACTTCGAAGGGAGTAAGGTTAGGGGGTTTGGTGGACGGGGTGTTTCGCGCGCGAAAAAGGGCATACGGCAGGAGCATCGTCCAATCTTTTAAGCCAGTCTCATGAGCCAATTTAGTGAGGGTCTCTTTAATAGTTCTATTCATTCTCTCTACCTGTCCTGAACTTTGGGGTCTATAAGCACAATGTAATTTCCAATCAATCCCCAATATGTTGGCCAGTCCCTGACTTACCTTAGCCACAAACGCCGGTCCATTATCAGACCCTATTACCTTTGGCAATCCGAACCGGGGAAATATTTCTTCCATCAATTTTTTTGTTACCACGGCAGCGGTTTCCTTTTTGGTAGGAAAAGCCTCAGTCCATCCAGAAAAGGTGTCTACAAAAACTAGCAGATATTTTAGTCCGCATCGGGCAGGCTTAACTTCTGTAAAGTCCACTTCCCAGTATTGTCCAGGTCTGGTGCCGCGTAGCCTTTTGCCGGGGGCCAGCTTGGCAGGGTAGGCATTGGTCAATTGACATGCCTCACAATTAGCCACCACCCGATTGGCGACCTGACGTATGGCAGTGGGGGATGCCCCTGGGAAGTCTTGGCGTTGGGCCAGTAGGCTTAGCTTTTTAGCTCCCAAATGAGTGAGCCGGTGGGCCTGTTGTATGTAAGCAGTCAAATCAGGTGTTTTAGGGGTTTGGTTAATCTGAGCTTTCTCCTTTTGAGGAGAATCTTTGACATCAGTCACCAACATCTGTGAGTCTCCCATGGCTGCAGATTTTGCTGCCTGATCGGCCAGGTTGTTTCCCCTTGTGACGGGATCAGTCCCTTTCTGGTGGCTGTTACAGTGTATTATCGCCACCTTCTGGGGCAACATAACTGCAGCGAGCAACTGGAGGATTTCCTGTTTGTGTTTTATTTCTTTTCCTGCGGAGGTCAGAAGCCCCCGCTGGCGGTATATGGCCCCGTGGATGTGGGCCGTTGCAAAAGCATATCGGCTATCCGTGTAAATGTTCGCTCGCTTTCCTTTAGCGAGCTCTAGAGCCTTAGTCAAAGCAATCAGTTCGGCCTTTTGGGCCGAGGACCCGTCCTCTAGTCTGGCTGTCCATATAACATTGGAATAATCAGTCACAGCCGCCCCCGCATACCGCTTACCTTGAATCAAAAAGCTACTCCCGTCAGTGAAGTAGGTCACCTCTGCATTGGGTAGGGGGCAATCCAATAAGTCCGGTCGTACTCCGGCCTCTTCCGCCAAGACGTCCTGGCAGGTATGGAGGACGGGTTCCGAAGCTTCTTCCGGCAGCAGGGTCGCCGGGTTGAGAGTCACCGGGGGTCCAAAAGTTATCTTGTCCTTGTTGAGCAAGAGGCTCTGATAATGAGTAACTCTGGCATTTGAGAGCCACCTGTCTGGAGGCTGGCGGATGATGCTTTCTAGCGTGTGCGGGGCAATGATTGTTATTTTCTGTCCCAAAGTCAATTTGTCAGCGTCTTTAATGAGCAAGGCAGCTGCTGCGATGGCCTTTAGGCAGGGTGGCCACCCGCTTGCCACAGTGTCCAGTCTTTTTGAGAGGTAAGCCACCGGACGCCTCCATGGCCCAAAGGCCTGGGTCAGCACTCCTCTCGCTATTCCTTTTTTTTTCTTCCATGAAGAGAGTAAAGGGCTTATCCACATTAGGAAGAGCCAGGGCCGGAGCGGACAGGAGAGCCCGCTTGATGGCATCAAAGGCCTGCTGGTGATCTTTTTTCCAGATAAAGGGAGATCCCCCCTTCAGTAACGGATATAGGGGAGCTGCCAAAGTTGCGAATCCGGGGATCCATAACCGGCAGAACCCCGCAGTGCCCAGGAACTCTCGTAATTGTTTTTGACTCTTTGGAGGGGGAATCTGGACCACAGTCTGTTTTCTGGCCTCAGTGAGCCACCTTTGTCCCCCTTTTAAGGAGTAGCCCAGAAAAATTACCTCTCGCTTACAAATTTGAGCCTTTTTTGCTGATGCCCTATACCCCAGGATAGCCAACTCACGTAAAAGGTCCTGAGTTCCGCTTGTGCAGTCACCCTCAGAGTCCGCAGCCAGCAGCAAGTCATCTACATATTGAAGAAGGGTGAGGCTTGGGTGTTGAGCCCGAAAGGGGGCTAAATCCTTATGTAGGGCTTCATCAAAGATGGTTGGGCTGTTTTTGAAGCCCTGTGGGAGGCGCGTCCAGGTTAGTTGTCCGGCGGACCCAGTCTCAGGGTCCGTCCATTCAAATGCAAATAAGGGCTGGCTATCTTTGTGTAAAGGCAAACAGAAAAAGGCATCCTTTAAATCCAGAACAGTATACCAAGTCCTTGACGGATTTAACCCGCTGAGGAGATTATAGGGATTGGGTACGGTGGGGTGAATGTCTTCTACCCTGCTATTGACCTCCCTTAGGTCCTGTACCGGTCTGTAGTCATTCGTCCCGGGCTTTTTGACCGGGAGTAACGGAGTATTCCATGCAGACCGACAAGGAGTTAATACCCCTTGGTCTAAAAGTCTCTGTATGTGCACCTTAATCCCTAGGTGAGCTTCTCTATTAATGGGATATTGCTTGACCCGAATAGGGGAGGCAGTGGTTTTTAAAGTAACCACTACAGGCGGTTGCTGGCTTGCCAGCCCAAGTCCAGCCGTCTCGGCCCAGGATTCTTTAAAATCAGTTAGCCAGGCTGGGGCGATAGGCTGGGGATCCTGGTGGTCGTAGAGCCTATATTCATCTTCCAGTTTTAGAGATAACACCGTAACCATAGGTTGCCCAACCTTTGGGTTACGGAATGTTACTTGAGGTCCTTGGGGCTCAAAGGAAATCTTTGCCCCCAGTTTGGTTAATAAGTCCCGTCCCAGGAGGGGAGCAGGACATTCGGGAATAACCAGAAAGGAGTGTTTTACTTTTCCCTTGCCTAAGTCAACTGTGCGCTCAGTGGTCCACGAGCGATATTTGCTCCCGTTAGCCCCTTGAACTAATGATTTCTTAGTTGAAAGGGCCCCTAAGGGGGCTTGTAAGGCCGAATAAACAGCTCCCGTATCGACCTCGAATTCCACGGGAGTCCCCTCCACTTTAAACATTACCCTGAGCTCGGGGAGGGGATCCGAGCCCCGAAGTCCCTAGTCTTCTTCATCTAGGGCGAGCATGGGGGCTCGGGATCGCTGTGAGGACTGTCTTTCTCGTTCTTCTTTGGCCCGTTTCTTTTTTAACTTTTCACAGTCTTTGATCAGGTGTCCTTTTTCCTTACAATATGCACATTGATCAGGGTCTAATGGAGGGCGAGTGGGCTTTCCCTTTCCTGGCTCAGGTTTTCCCTGAATAACTGTGGCCAACATCTTAGTTAATTCCTTGTTTCGTCTTTTGTCCCTAGCTAACTCTTTCTCTTCCTCTGTCTCCCGCTTATAGTAGACCTTTTCAGCTTCCTTAACAAGATCCCTCAGAGTCAGGTCTTGGAGACCATCTAGCCTTTGGAGCTTACGTCTTATATCAGGGGCCGATTGTCCTATAAAGGCCATAGCTATCGAGCCTTTTCGGCCTTCCTCCTCAGGGTTAAAAGGCGTATATCGCCGGTAAGCTTCCATCAGGCGTTCTAGAAAAACTGAGGGAGTCTCAGTAGGTCCTTGGGTAACTTCTCTTACCTTGGCCAGATTAGTGGGGCGCCTTGCGGCCGCCCGGAGACCTGCCATTAGAGTCTGGCGATAGATAGAAAGATGCTGCCTACCAGCAGGTGAGTTGGGGTCCCAGTTGGGGCGCTTTAAGGGGAAGAAGTCATCGATCCGGTCTGGTCTCTGGGTGGGTCTGCCATCCTCTCCGGGAACAGCTTTCCGGGCTTCCAGGAGGATGCGGTCTCTTTCCTCGGTGGTGAACAGGACCCCTAGGAGCTGTTGACAGTCGTCCCATGTGGGTTGGTGGGAGAACATAACAGAATCCATTAGACCTGTTAGCTTAGAAGGATCATCAGAAAAAGGAGGGTTATTGTTTTTCCAGTTATAGAGATCTGAGGTAGAAAAAGGCCAGTACTGTAAAGCGGGCATCTGCCCTCCATCTGTCCCATCGTCTATCATGGGCCCATAGGGACGGAGAGGGAGGGCAACGACTGGATCCTCAGGCCGTAGCTTGCTCCGAGTGTTCTGGGCTGGGCCCGTGGGCCCCGGAGGTGTGGGCTCGGGGCAAGCCATCGCAGGGAGTGGGGGATATAGAGGGGACGTGGGTACCGGAGGAGAAGAGGAATTTAGCTCAGGTGAAGAGGGGGCTGACGGAGAAGCAGCACTCGATTCGGACGAGGAGGCTGGAGGAGAGAGTGGGTACGGGGGAGGTTGAGTCGGCTGAGAAGGAGGAGGCTGGTCATAGTCGAGTAAGGGTAGATCAGGCTGAGACTCGGGCAGGACCGGAGCCGAAGTGGGAGGTCCTTTCAGAGCTAAAAGCTTTGGTACAGATGAGTCAGAAGGGGGAAGAAAGGATTTTACCCATAATGGGGGTTCCTCCCTGAGGTCCTGCCATACCAGGATGTAAGCGACTTGATCAGGGTGCCCCCTTCGTCCGGGGCGGAAGATGACGTCCTTAACTGCTAGAATGAGGGGCAGATGAAAAGTCCCCTCTGGTGGCCACCCCACAGAGAAAGCAGGCCACTCAGTCGAGCAGAAATCCTGCCACTTACTCTTCTTGACCTGCAAGGAGAGATCGTGAGCCCTCTTCCGCACCTCCGACCAATGGTCGAGGGTGAGGGACAATGGGGATGAGGTCGACTGTCCCATGACGTTCTATTGTCACAGGGCGGTTAACGCAAGCGCGGTACAACAAATAACCTAACACAGCACCCACGACACACAAAACAATCAGGCCGGCCACTTCATTCACATGCATACGCATCAGTTTCACTCCAAATGAGACACCTTACAGGGTGTCTCCAGATTGGCCCGGGCGGACCACAGACTGGGAATCGAAATCCCCCAGATGAGTCACCTCAAAGGGTGTCTCCAGATTGGCCCAGACGGACCACAGATTGGGAATCGAAATCCCCCAGATCGATAGGGAGACCCTATCGCAGACGGTGAACCACGGAAACCGTGTGGGGCGTCCCCCAGTCACCAGGGAACAGAGTACGAAACAGATAACAAAAATTGCCCCTAGATCGGAGCCGTATGGCTCGGGGCGTAAACACCGGTGGTATGAAAAGCGACCAGTCGTACTCACCCGTAGAGCCGTTGGGGTCACCTCCCGTGAGACGTGCTAATCTCGCTGGGGCCTCCAAGATGTTAGGGCCAACGCCGCAGGGAAAGAGACCCCAAGGACTCAGCTCTTGGTGAGGAAAAGAAAGTTTATTTCCATGCGCATGGGGTCCCTCAGGCAAACGTGTGCGGAGGGGCCCCGAGGGGAATTTGTGCAGGGTTTTTAAAGGTACACGCAGGAGGCAAGCAAGTTTACAGAAGCAAATCGCATTGGTTAATTTTGAGCGGCGCAGGACCTGGCTAATGCTGATTTGAGGGTCTGGGGCTGAGTAACCATGGAGACCGAGGGTCTTGGGTTGACCTTAGAGTGCCAGGTGCTCCCTGGTCCTGTTTATACAGTACATTCTTTTGCTTATCTCTATCTTTACAAAGAACAGAACATCTAGTGGCTAATGACTAGCAGAGACATTCCTTTTGGCCCCGCTCTGACTATCTCCTGGGAAAAGGTTTAGGGAGTGAAGCACTCTTTACTGCTCTGTTTTGATAGCTCTGGGAAGTTAGGGAGTCAACTCTTTTATTCCCCGCTCTGGGGAGTTAGGGAGTTAACCCTTTCATTCCCCGCTCTGGGGAGTTAGGGAGTTAACCCTTTCATTCCCCGCTCTGGGGAGTTAGGGAGTTAACCCTTTCATTCCCCGCTCTGGGGAGGGGGTTGTAGCAGGGGGGTCGACTCTCACAGTTTCAATTCTTTTGTATTTATCTGAGGAGATTTTATGGCCTAAGATGCGATCTCTTTTAGAGAAACTTTCATATGCTGCTGAAAAAAGGGTATTTTGTGTTTGTTGGATGAAACAATAAGTCCCTTTGTTCAATGGTGTAATTTAAATCTTATCTTTCTTGCTTGCCTTTTTTTGGTCTTTTTGACCTGTTTGTGAGAGTGGGGTGTTGAAATGTCTCACTATGATTGTCCTGATATCTATGCATCCATTTATGTCAAGTAATTTTTGCTTTATGAAATCGGGCACACATATTCACTGTGTATTCATAATCATCTCTTCCTGTTGAATTGATCCCTTTACCAATAGTGACCTTCTTGGTCTCTTCTGATCAGTTTTGGCTAGAAATCCACTTTGTCTGAAATTAGGGTGTCTACTACTGCTTGTTTTGGGGTTCCAGTTCTATGGAATATAGTTTTCTATCCTTCAGTCATTGTTTTTCTTTGCAGATGAGATGGTCTTGTTTTGGGGGAATTGGCAGAAAATATTTGATAGTTTGTTTTTTTTTTATCAGATCTGCCAGTCTTTGTTTTTTGATTGGGAACTTCAGACCATTGACATTGAGAGTTGGTTTTTGTTTTTATTTTTATTGGAAGGAAGGAAGGAAGGAAGGGGAAAAAAAAGAAGAGAGAAAAGAAAACGTAACAATGAAACCGAGTTTCAAAACAGATTAGTTTGGACCATTATAACAGTTGGATACATCGTGTATTGTCTTTTAATTCTTCAGAGTACAAGATAGTGTGATATCTTATACAGTACTTACTGAATCCTTTCTTTGCATTATTTTTCCAGTGTTGCCCTCTGGTTTTTTCCTATTGTTTAAATACTCTCCCAGTTTAATATATTCTTTCCTGAGTCTCTCTGCTTTCTCCCTTTCTGTTTAGTATTTTCAGCAGTGCTAGTTTGGTGGTCATGAATTTTTTTAGATTTTCTTTGTCATGGAAAGTTTTTATTTCTTCATTAATTTTGAAGGATAATTTTGTGGGTGATAGCAATCGGGTTGGAATTATTTTCTTTTAGGGCTTAAAAAACATAACTCCAAGCTCTCTTGTCTTTAAGATTTGTGTTGAGAAATGTGCTGTTATTATGATAGTCCTGCCTTTGTAGGTTACATAATGTTTTTTTTTTTAATGGTTTTTAATATTCTGTCTCTGTTCAGATTTCTCGGATTTTGATTGAGAGGTCCTTGTCTGGTTGTGCCTGTTTGGTGCTCTAATTGCCTCATTTTCCTGGATATGCATTTCAGTCCCTAGATTTGGAAAGTTTTCTACAATGATTTCAATGAATACATTTTTTTATATCTTCACCAGTCCTTCCTTGACACTGATAACTTTTAGGTTTCTTCTTTTAGAGTCCTCCAGAAACTATTGAGCCAACCTCTTGTGGTTTCTTGTAGTTTTCAGAGTATCACTGAGCGGGTATTACTTCATTCTTATTCTTCGGTTGTACTAGTCTGTCCTCCAATTGATCATGTCTACCATATGATTTTCCATTGTGTTTTTTATTTCCAGGATTTCTGCTGGATTTGTTGTAATTCTTCACCGAAGTGGTCTTTCATGTCCTGCATTGTCTTTAATCACTCAGCTGTTTAATAATATTATCTTTAAGCTCATTTATCAGCTTTTTAATCCAATCCTTTATCTATTGCTCCCTCTTTGAGCGCATTGAACATTTTAGTAATTTCTTCATGAATCTATTTGTGTTCTTTGATCTCTTTAAACATTTAACTACTCGTGTTTTGTTTTGGTTTGGTTTTTCTTTTGGGCTTAGAAATACCTTTCTTTTCATGCCAATGAGAGTAGCTTTTGGGGAGTTTTTGGAGGCCTTTCTTACATTTTAGTGCTTTTGTGTTGAGGGTCATAGATCAGTTCAGGTAGAAAACTCACTCCTGTGGAGATCTCTTTAGTTAGTGCATGTGTCTCCCTGTGATGTGACCTTGGCTTTAGCTATGTTTTTGGTGTTCATCCGTCTATTCAGCCTACTCAGCGTGGGATCAGTCTCAGTGTGTCTGCTCCTACACCACTGCAGCTGAGCATGCCATGCCAGACTATCTGTTTAGCCATGCCTCTTCCAGATTTTTAAGGAACAGTTCTTATTATTCTTATAATTAGTCTTGGTCTAGTGATCTGGATCCCAAAGTCCACTCCATTTCATTCAGATCACACCAGAATAAGGAAGTGTCCTCTGGTTTCCCTTCAGATTATATAAATCTTTTGCCTTTTCCTTAAGATTTCCATGGATAGAGTAAGAGGTGCAGCCTGCCGCATATCACAGCCGCTCATGGGCACCGAGTATGGGAGAGTGTTCCGGGCCTGCAGACTAGACTTAGCTGACAGCCGTTTTCTTCTACTGGTGCCTCAAAAGCATTTTTAAAAACTAATCCCAAATGTTTATAGTTTCTGCAACCACTCTTCCTACTCTGTACAATCCTGTGACATTTTGTTTTGATGCTAAATTCATTTGTGACAATCTGGCTCCCAGTCTTCATGTCAGATCCCCTATAACTTCTGAATTTCTTTGAAGCATACCATTGGTAAACATATTTAGTGTATTTCTTATTTTATTGATAGGGACATGAGAGCAAAGGATCAAAAATTGCAACCAAAGAGCCACTTAACACAACTTACACTTTAAGAGAATATTTCGAGAATAGTAGCTGACAGTGGTCCTTATTGTAAATATCCATTGTGATCATTCACTTTAACCAGCCCTTTATTTTATATATTGTTAAAGTTGAGGAATGTTGGCAATTGTTTTTCTTTGGTTGCAAACCAAGAAACCTCACATTTATATTACAACCTAGTGAGTGGGAAAGAAGGAGACCTGGAGGTTTATTTCAAAGACATATTTTAATAAAGGCTTGTCAGCTCAAAAATGTTATTCCATACAGAGTTGCTCAAAGCTCTCATGTTTTGTTCCTTTGAAAGGCTTCATGTTTTTTAAAGGAAGAAGTTAAATTGAATACATAAGACCTTTATTTTCTCTGTTAACTTTGTCTCAGTTACTTTAAAGCAGTAACCCCAAGGCATTTACCTGTGAAACTGATGTTTTAGTGAAACACCAAATGTTAGGTATTTAATAATGAAAGATTTCTATCTTTTATTTAAATTCATTTTTGTCTAATTCTTGAGATCTGTGCTTGTGTTTGTCACATATAGAAAACACATAATTGGAGTAAAAATACCAGGTAAGTTAATCATAACCCAATCAAACAACCTACAGAAGAGATAGAAATAGTCACGTATCAGAGGCTCTGAACATTAGATTGATTGCTAAGGATTTTTTTAGAAAAGGAAAGTAACAAATTTTTCAAATATGCTTAAATGTTACAAATTTTAGATAGTACACACTATGGGTTAGTTCATGTTACTTTGACTTATTCTTTCTTAGGAAGCATAAACCACGCCTTTAAAAGGAAAAAGGCGATCGAAATTTTAGACATTACATCTTTTAATTTTTATGTAAAGATTCAGATCATGTGTCCAGTAAGTATTCATTGTTATGGGAATTTCTGTCCTGCTATTAACAACTAGAACATAGACAAAATATTTGAAATAACCATTTTCAGACATTGGACCACAGGCAACACATTGAAATAACCATTTTCAGACATTGGACCACAGGCAACATAGAGATAACACATTGCTGCCTGATCCGCAAGAAAAAAAATACAGTTGACTCTTCCTTACCTCAGCTTGCTCTCTGGGGTAGCTTCCAAGCTCCAGTACAAAAAAGAGAGAGAAAGAAACAGATCACTCTGTGAATAGCAGCCCAGCTAAAATGTGTGAGACAAAGACCCAGAGAGAAAAGAACTATGAAGAAAAAGTCTTCAAGGAATCTAAATTTTTGTTATAAAATCGCCAAAGTTGAGATTTCAGGAAGATGTTCAAAAGAACATGAAAGGAATTGGTTTTTATTATATAATAATGTATCCAAATTGTATAATGGAATGTGTTTTGTTTTGTTTGTTTTTTTGGCACTGGGGATCAAACTCACAACTGCACACTTGCAAGGCAGGTGCTTATGCCACTGAGCTAAATCCCCAGCCCCTATAATGGAACATTTGATTATTAGGCAAGTTGAATATAATATCGCACTATAAATATGAGTTGATTGTCCTGGAGTAAGAGTTTCACTAGTGTACTGGAAGATGACATTTCCTGGGGATTTGCAAAAGCTCTGCATGCCAAGAGTCTCCTCCTATGGACTATAGCACCTGGGCCAGTGGTCTGAAGCTCCTCAGTCAAATCTTGCCAAATGGAACCAGGACATGTGTTTGCCAATACCGAAAACCCTGCATTGTACCCCCAGGAAAGCCTCTCCTCTGTCTATTCAGAGCAATTTTTGTCCATTTTTAATATAAAAAATTAATTATTTTAGTCTATTTGATCTTCCCTATGCCAGCTCCCAGAATAACCTTCAACTAAAGCGAAAGGGCATTTTTAGGCCTTCTTAAAAATCACTTTAAACCATAGTAATAATAGCCCTAGACCTTCAGGTAAGCATACATAGTAATACCATAGCTTTTACTTACAAATCTAATTATCATGTGTTTGTGGATCTTTCTCATTTAGATGTGACAGTGGTTTATCAAAATGGGTTACCCGTGATATCTGTGAGGCTACCATCCCGACGTGAACGCTGCCAGTTTACTCTCAAACCTATCTCTGACTCTGTTGGTGTATTTTTACGACAACTGCAAGAAGAGGATCGGGGAATTGATCGAGTTGCAGTCTATTCACCAGGTATAATCACCTTTGTTTTTAATTCTCACCTACTTCTCACTTCCAAACTATTTCTGGACAGACGTATGCATGCACGTACCTGCTAGCACGCGCGCGCGCGCGCGCACACACACACACACACACACACACACACACACACACAGAGGTCACTGCAAAAGAATATCATGCTGTTAATTTTAGAAAAAACAATTTATTTTTATTTTTATATTTTTGCCTAGCAAGTTCAGGAGAGAAAGTGATTTCTCTCCCAGTGGTTCTCAGAATATGATTGTTAAGTTTTTGCAAGTATAAATTCATAGGGAGTCTCATTCAAAAGCTACTCACATGTGATGTCATGGGCAAGGGTAAGCAGTCATTCACATCTTCTACTATCGAGACCTTTTATCACTCCTTTATACGTAGAATAAATTTTTCTAGGAGCTGAGCCATCACCTTTAGAGATAACGAAATGTGACAACTTCTTTGTAGACTTTAGGTTTTTTATCTAAAATGACTACCCAAGTAGAGTATATGATATGAAAAGAACATAAAATAAGACACTAAAAATTCCCACTTGATGTGACATCTGTTTATTTTTTAAGTGCCTTCAGCTTTTTTGGTTTTGTTTTTCATTTTTACTTTGAAAAAATTCAAACCTACAGTAAACTTGAAAGACTGGTATACTATGTGTCTATTACCCCTCCCCGGGGGTCACCGTTGGCTATGTTTGCCACATTTCTGGGCTTCAAGTATTTATTTCTGTGCTGTAAGTATTTTGGGCTCATCCAGAAATATATGTAGTGGACAAGTTTGGTGTACTTTACTCACCCTAGCGTCCATCTCTACTGAATTGAGGGCTAATCAGTGACTATACTGGAAACTTGTTAGAAAACATTTGTTTTGTTTTGTTTTAGGCTGAGCCAGCTTCTATCACAAATGAGTTTTTAAGTCCGTACATCCAAGAGCAATAATTATTTCACTCGTTCATACCATTGTAGGAAAAGCATTTTGATAAATCTTTAGACGTGAGGTCTTTTTAAAAACAAAGAGCTTCAGATAATCTAAAACTTTGTTCTGCATAAAACTGGGGAATGAAGCAAAAAAGTTAACTGAAATTTAAAAGAGAAGGGATTATTTTAGAAAATCTGTTAAGGATTACTTTTTCCTGACTATCCTCGAATAATTACGGACATATGACAGGTTTTACTTAAAATTTTCACAGATGGTGTTCGAGTTGCTGCTTCAACGGGGATAGACCTCCTCCTCCTCGATGACTTCAAGTTGGTCATTAATGATTTAACATACCATGTACGGCCACCAAAGAGAGGTAAAAGAGACCTGATGAGTTCACAAAAATGTAGACAGGGCTTTGGGAGGAATGTTATTTTTCCTGCATTCACTTTGAGAAACAGACAGTTCAAAGAATATGGAAAGTTTTACCTACAAATAGACTGTGTTTCATTTGAAGAACTCATTCAATACATGGCGGTTGGCTGGACCATTGCGAGTCTGTATTATCTATAATATGCTTTATTATCTGGCATTATTTCTCTGCTTCATATAAATGTGTCCTGCTTAATTTAATCTTCCATCTGTACAGGCTAAACTTCATATTATTTTTATAAGATTAAAATAATACAAGAGATCTAGGGATATACTTCAGTGATAGAGCACTTGCCTAGCACATGCAAGCTCCTAGGTTTGATCCCAGCACTGCAGATAATAATTACAGTAACACCAGGTGAATGCAAAAGGCCCTGGGATTGATTCACGGCACCACAAGAAATAATGATACTGATATAAGATAAATCTAAAGCAAGTAATGAGTTTCCCTCTTTTCTTAAAAAATAGTAAGACTTTTAATTTGATGGCTCAAGTTCAGCAGTCTGAAAGTTAGCCAAGATGCTTCTTGGCTAACATTGGAGTTAACTGAAAATAGTGTACATTGAAAAATCATTTAGTATATCTAACCTACCAAGCATTATATCTTATCTTAGTCTACCTTAAACATGTCCACAACACAGACAGCAGCTTTAAATTGGGCAAAGTCATCTAATACAAAGCCTATTTTATTTTTTTAAAAAGTGTTGAGTATCTCATGCTTGCACACAAATGGACATTTGATAGACATGATGGGATGCAGAAATGCCAAGACAGGACCTAGAAACCAGTGCCACCACACACTGCAGGGTATCAGTTATTCTATCCTTACAGTCCTGTGTCTGACCCAGAGCTGTAGATCACTGCCACTTCCCAGCACAACAAACGTGGAGCTGTTGTACCGTGTCTCGGTAACCAAGGGAAGGGTCAAAGTGTGCTTTCTACTGCTTGCATATTACTCTCATACCATTGTACAGTTGGGAACTCTCTGTATAATAATGATCCTAAGGAAAAGATGAGGTGCTTGCCTGAGGTGTACATTTTCAGAGCCAGAGAACTCAATAATCAATTTAGTGCTGCTTTTTTTTTTAAACAGTGTCTCTCTGTTGCCCAGGGCTGGTCTTAAACTTGGACTTAAATAATCCTTTTGCTTCAATCTTTTGAATAGCTGGACCTGCAGGGATACACAATTTAATATACTATTTAAAAAATAAATTTAGTGCAAGAAAATCCATGATCAGAAAAACACTAAAATTTTTCTTTTCATCCTAGGCTCCAGTGTGGTATACAATATGAATGTTAGAAAGCCTCTAAAGTAGCACTTTGAGTTGTGCCTTTTTGGATCAGTGTTCTGAATCCATCAGCCACCTAAAGGTCTAAGTTTTAAATGCCTCTATAATCTGGTCTGTGGTACCTTTTCTCTGCCTTTCCTGCACCGCATATCCCTTGTCTGTTTTAGCATCCTTGCCATTTCATGTCTGCTCTCCTTTCGTTGCCCTCGATCCCTTTCTCCCTCCCTGTTCCCTGCCCTCTGGTTTCTCATCTGTTGATATCGATGTCAGCTCTTCCACGATGCTCTGAATGATCCTATTCTTTCTTTTTTTGACTCCCAATCAACCAGAAGTGGTTGATCTTTTCTCAGAATTCTTCTTCTTCTTTGTTGGAAAATGCCCTCAAAGAAAGCATTGTGTCTTTGTAGTCCCCATCACCCAGGTGAGCATACTACATTGAGACATTGAATGGACTAAACAAGTTACCTGGGTAGCGTTTTGGATGTTCAGAGATCACATTAATTCAAGCATCGAACTAGCTGGGAAAAAGAATAGAAAGTGTCATTTACATAGCAAGACATTATTGACTCAGATTATATTAAACTGGAATAACCGAGTATGTAAAACATGTTAGCTGTATATCAGCTGTGCTGATATTTTTCTTCTTTATTTCCTGATACTTGAGCTATAAATTCTCTAAACAGAAGTATAATGTTATTTACTCAGTTGGTGTGTTTTGTGTGAATTAGCTAGAGTTCATTCTATTTAGATTTTGTATTTATAACAGTCTAAACTTTGAGACTCCTATCTAAAGTGTAACAGTTAGGAATGTTGAGACATGAACATCCATAAAGTATGATGTTAAAAACTAAAGATATTTTAAGCCATGGCTAATAAGAATCATTTTTCTACTGCTGGGTTTTTGAAACAAATGTTTTAGTTTTTTAAATAAGCACATTCTCATGCTGAATAAAGAATGGTAAGGCAGAAACCAAATAGGGGAAGTGTGATTCCTTGGTGACTTGACAGTCTAACAATTCTTTGTTCTATCGGTGTTTTAGAAATGTGCAATATATATCCAGATTCTCTAAGGGTAAATTAGGATGTGAAGTTTTGCAAAGATCAAAAACCTGTAATTTGTGAAGGATAAACTTTGGCAAACTCAATAGCATTATTCACGTAGAGTTTTTAAAGACTTCAACATTTAAATTTACACATCAAAATACTCTTAGTTTTGTTATCAGCCAACAAGAGATTGTACCTCTAGATACCATCTTTCAGACACTGAAATAATATTGTATATACTTTGTTTTCTCTGATTTTTAAAGAAAAGAATTTAAAATACATGTGACTTTTGTTTGCCATATTATCTTCCTGTCCTGGGTTGGGGAAGGTGTTGCTGGCACACAAAGCAGCAGCATTTTTTGGCTGAATACCATAATGTGAATTTCAGTATTGGAGAGGGATACGGTCCGTTCTGGTGAGCAAGCGAATCCCACCTAGAGAAGAGGCCATGAGTGAAGGGAGGACGAAGGGAGTGTGGAAGGCGTGGGGGTCAGATAATGAAGAGCAGTCCTAAGGCTTATGTGTACTCGGGACAGAGGGAGCACGCTGCTGTATCAAGTAAGAGCAAAAATAGTTCATGCTTTTTCTGGGGCAGTTTAAATTTTAACACTTTTCCATTCATTCATCACTTCCCTTTTGAATGCTGCGTGAGCTGTCGTTTCACACCCTTACCCCAGGCATCAACATAGAGGCTCGTTCATGTGGAGTCCGGCATAGCCACATTCTGTGCTTATGTGGGGCCGGCAGGCTGTAGCTGTTGTAGGTCCTTAGGTGTTGACAGCCCTGTACCTAAACCAAACTTTAGAACAAGGGAACAAGTATCCAAAGTTGGAATAAGGAAACGTGTCAGAAGACTAAGGGTAGCTGCTAACTCCAGCATATTCTTTTAATAATCATAGTAGCCTGTGGCTGGTTTTTATCTGACCTCTCACTGTAGAACAGAAGTGACTCCTTCTCAATTTGATGACCTCATAATAAATCTAAATCCAAAATGGAGGGAGGCATGTAGGGAACACAAAAGCCTTTTTATCCCAGTCCATGTTGAAATAGTACTTAACTACCTCTCTGTTATTCTCAGAAAGGAAGAGAATATATTCACCTTATTACTGGGGAATATCTTTTTCTGCTAAGAAAAATAATTTTTTTTTTTGGTCTTTTTTTTCTGTCTTTTTCTTTTTTATCAGTACCAGGGATTGAACTCACGACTGCCTGCTTGCAAGGCGGGTACTTATGCCGCTGAGCTAAATCCCCAGCCCCTAGAAAAGTAATTTTGATTGGTACCACTAGAACCCTATTCTTTGCTCATCCATCCAGAGGATGTTGAAGGCTCTACTTCCTTTTTAATGATATAAATTATTTGAAAGGAGAGGTTGAACAGGCAAACCAAATACCAATTATAATGATCAGCTTGCTAGAGACCCAAATAGCCAAAAGTCTTCTCAAACCATGTTCTTTGCTGAAAAGAATTTCCAATACTCATTACTTCAGGATGTTTCTTGTCTTTCTATACCATAATTAACTTGGAATTGATGAAATTTACAAAAACATTAATAAACATATGAGTACTTTTCAGTGAAACATACACTACTAGTGTATACTTATCCCAAAGTGCCTCGTATTAAACCTCTATCAGATTTGTGTTCCCTCTTCCTATAACTCCATCTCTCAAATAGATGAGCAGATTTTTCTGGGCCACGAGTTCAGGGTTGTTATATTACACCATGACAGTCTCTTGGAACTATATTTTCCCTGTCAGGAACACCTAACAAAATAAAGCTTAGATTTGTGAGTCTCCCAAGGCTTTATTGATGCACAATCAGAAAGATAACAGCCGTTTACATTTAGCCAGGTTAAAAGTGAATCTCTGTTTGTTGTGCTTCGGTCCTTTTTTATTGTCTAGGCGTTTTCTTCCCATTGCCATTAGAAGGCATTATGGTTGCATATTTTTTTTTGCACTTATTTTGAATAGATGGTATATTTTTAAGGTCCATTCCTAAAGTGTAAAATAATTTTGGGGAAAAGTCTTATTCTTATTCTCTTTTCCCCAGCTATCCTTTTGCTTCTGCGGCAGCAAACACTGTTTTCATTTCTTATGCCTTCTGCCTGGACAGTCTGTGCATTAATAAGCAAATATTAATACATATTTCTGCTATGCAAATAGCATACTACCTATGCTATCTATGCCTGGGCAGGACATCTTGAGAAAGCTGCTTCTGCGTGTGAACCCAGATTTGTTGTAAGTACCGGAAGTAAACAGTTGAGATAAAGAACAGGCCCCAGAGCCCACCAGGGCAGGCGCAGCTGCTCTCCAGGGCTGCCCTGCCTGTCTCACTCCTCACCACAGCACCCCTCAGGGCATAAAGTCTGTCGTTTCATTTCTGTCTTCCAAAGTCTCGCCTGAGCTTCTCTTTTGGCTAGCCCCGATTCAGAACATATATGAAAGGGTACTCTGGGAAACAATTCCAATGTGGCAGGTTGACAAAGTGTGAAAACCACTGAGCTGTTCTGCTCACCTGTGAAGATTCTAATGTCAGTACATGAAGATTCCCTCCTTGTTCACAGCTGCTTTGTTGTACAGCGTATGACTGCATCACCGTTCACTTAACTACTCGTACTTCACAGGTTTTTTTGTGTTGTTTTCATCTTTTTCTACAGTTTGTATACAACATCAGACAAACTTGAATGTGTGTTACTTAAGAAGTATATGTATGCACATGTAGAAAAATACCTAGCAGTTGGATCCTAACAGATACGGATCAGAACTTAAATTTTGGGCTGGAGACAGCTCAGCAGCACAAGTGCCTGTCTGGCTAATGTGGTGTCCTGAGTTCAATTCCTGGTACCAAGAAAAAAAACTTAAATTTTACAGAAGGCAAAGAAATATTGAAGTTCCTAAAAGAATCAAAAAAGAAATGTTTGTACAACCTTAGAGTGAGAAAGAACTTTCTAACTGTAACAACCCAGAAGCTAAAGACTATTATAAAAAATTTTTTTCTGCAAAATAGAATCCTAACATTGCGTGGGTAGGGAGGTAGACTGGAGATTGACTCCAAAGCCTCACACAGATCCACATCTCCAGTCCTTTCTCCTTTTTATTTTGAGGTAGGGTTTCAAGAAGTTTCTCAGGCTGACCTTGAAGGACCTCAGCTTCTTCCTGAGTAGCTGAGATTCCAAGCAAGTGGCACCACGCCCTGCAATGAAAATTAATTTTTAATCTAAGCAGTCACCAATGAATAGAAACTTACTTTACTCATAAAACAAATTCCAAGCCTGATTGCAGATTTTATGGCTCCTCAGGTTATGGTTGTCCATATATATTTGGATATTTTTAGTCTGTCCATGCTTTATTTGGAAAAGAAGCTTCTGTTTAGTTTGGTTACTTCTCTCCTCCCTCCCTCCCTCAGCAAATACAGTGTCATCGTGGCACTGACAGTTGAAATGGAAAAAGTAAGTCATGTATGAGCTGCAGCTGCTTTCCCAACCCTACCAGTCCCACAAGTCTGCGAACATCACTGCTAGACCTCATCAGGGAGAGGAACTATCACTTATTTGATTTCTTTCTCCACTCAGTAGTGACCAGGTCTATACCAAGAACAAAAATATTTCTTTTTTTTTTAACTTTATAAAGAAGAGATTTATTTATCTCACAGTTTTGGGGTTTAAAAATAAAAGGTCCCTGTAGTCTCACAGTTGAGTCTCTGGTGAGAGACTCATAGCAGAGAGCCTACAATCATGGCAGGAGTGTGTGTGGAAGGAAAGCCTGTAACAGACAGGCAGCCATATTTGATCAAGGGGTCTTAACAATTTGCTAGAACAAAAATATTTCTTAACCTTATCTTTCTGGGATTCAAATTTCTCTTTTATAAGTTGTGAGCAGCAAGTTTACTCATGCGATTATCTTGAAAATAGCATGGGATAATACTTGAAGGTTTTACAAGCTATTCCTACTTCAGGAATTATGTTTTCAAAGGGGAAGTGAGTGGATAGGAGAAAAATGAGATTGATATCCTACGAGCATCCTAACTCAGCTCCTGGGCTGCAAGGCAGGAGACAAGGATTCTACCACTTCATGCCAATGCTCTAGAGCAGTTACTCTGACTTTTCAGGGTACAGTTTCCTCTCCAGTAACTTTGATACAAAGAAGACTTTGTGACCTGACGACTTCTGACACTCAAAGTGTCCTTGTTTTTATCTGTTCCCATCACAGCACACATTTACTGATGCATGCAAGATGCTGTGCTGGATGCTCTACCTCATTTACTAAGTCAGCTCCTCTCTGATCCAATTTGCTACTCTTATTTGAAGATTTTCATAGATTGAATTTCTGTGATAACTGTACAATAGGACATCCTTGAATATTTGAAATATGTGGTTAATCCTTGACTGTGGCTTATTTTGTTGTAGAAGATGGTTGACCTTGTGCTGTACCTAACAAAAAGTCACATTTTGACCTAATAAAATTCTAAAATGAAAGCTTTATGACTGGTGCTCTTTTTCTTTTCTTTTCTTTTTTTAATAGCTGAGATCAGCTGAGTTCTTATTAAATTCCCAAAACATAATTTTTAGATTTCTGGAAACACATGCTACTCACCAGCAGAGGATATTGAATCAGAGAATTTAATCTTTTACCATTTCAATCATTCCTATAAGTTCATGCTCATTGGAGTATGATATTGAGGCTTAAATAGCTAGTCTGTCTTGCTTTACAGGGAGTGAATGGCAGATAAGATTTTTAAGGTGATATTTTTATTTAAAGCTTAGTCTTTGCAAACATGAAATACTGTATATGTTTTCCTCAGGCGTTCCTAAACAGAAATAGTTAAAATGACAATACATTTTAGATCAAAATTTTAATACACATGAAAATCAGGTGGATTCTAAACCTCTGTACTAACTTCTCACATTTGAGTTAACTTTTTCCCTGTAATGATTTTTTTTCAGTGGTGGGATCAAACCCAGGGCCTCTCACATGCTAGGCAGTCGTTCTGCTCCTGAGCCACACGTACTTATCCTTAAAGGTTCCTATTTACACTATCTTTCTCAATAATTCCTTTATTCATTGCCACATTTATATCAGTTAGACTTCCAGGAATATAATGATGAATACTTCTTACAAATTTATTGTTACCCAAATATAAATTTGTGTTCTAGATTTTTGAGCAATTAATTTAAAAAAAAAAAAACCTTTTTCAGTTTAATACTAAAGGTAGGACTCCTCTAACAGAGGAGCTGCTTTGTAATCTTGTCTTTGTCTAGTAACCCTACTCATCCTTCAAGCCATACTTTTAAAAACGTAAATAACCCCTCCTTTGCAGACCTCCTAAGCCATGAAAATGCAGCCACGCTGAACGACGTGAAGACCCTCGTCCAGCAGCTCTACACTACACTGTGCATCGAGCAGCACCAGTTAAACAAGGAAAGGGAGCTCATCGAGAGATTAGAGGACCTCAAACAGCAGCTGGCGCCCCTGGAAAAGGTGAAAGCCCACCTCTCACACTTCTCTTTGCCTTGTTTCTTCTAGAGCACACATTTCTGGTTGTTTTCTTCTAAGTTTTGTGTAGTTGAGTCATGTCAGTCAAACTCATACAGTAGTTTATAGGACTCACCATAAAAAAGTTCCATTCTAAGCTAAGAAAGGACATGAGAAGGAATATGTGAAGCCTGGATCTTAGACTTCTGAGGCCTAAATGTGGCCTAATATGGTCCCCATCACCAGATTTACTATCTCTAAAACCAAAGACTGGAATAATTGCTCACCAGGAATGATTCTGAGTGTAGAGGCTAATGATTTTAGCCAAAGTTAATGGTGAATATTACATACAATGTTATATAGTTATTAAAATGTTTATGTAAGTCTAATTTACTGTAGAAAATATTCATGATATATTATGGAAACTAAATTCTAAAACAATTGAATGCTGTGTTCCAAATTTTAAATATATTATGTATATAGCTACCCACATTTTTATATTTATACATACATATGAAAAATCGGAATAGACTCCAAAATGCTAATGTAGTAGGAGGATTATGATTAATTTTTCTTCTTTACACTTTTCAGAATGTTTTGAATAAATGTATGTCATCCATAATTTTGTAGTGGTGCTGGAGATCAAATCCAGGATCTCATGCATGCCAAGCAAGTTTTCTACCACTGAACTATATTCCCAATCATACGCTTAATTTTTTATGATGATGTACATGTATCACATGGCTGTACCTATGAAGAGGTACAAATATACTTCATGTAATTACATTCTACATTCTGAAAAAATGTGTCTATGGGGTGATTTTGTTACGAGAGCATGATAGAATGTGTTACACAAACCTAGATGGCATGGACAGTGATGGTGAGCCTGTGGTTTACATGTTATTTTTCTAAGACAGATGTTAACAGATGAAGTTTTTTTGTTTTGTTTTTCTTGGGTTTTTGGGGTGGGTTTACCAGGAGTGTTTTTTAAACTAAGACCTCCCTATACAAATCTAATTTGCTGCGTTGTCACTTTGCAATAAGTAAATGGGTTTGAGGTTGCAGTTGGGGCAGTCACCATCAGTGGTATAGCCCTGTCACTTGATTTGGCAAATGTGATGTGGTAACTAGGAGATTTACAACGCTGTTTCTGGCATGTTACCTTTTTTATTAAGTAGAAGATGTACAACCTAAAATAACAAGTATAGTCTGGTAAGTACATAAACCAGTGACATGTCATTTATTATCATTAGGTGTCATGAACTGTAAATGACTGTGTGTGTTATACATAATATGCCTGACAGTGCAGTGGGTTTGTTTATGCCAGCATCATCACAGGCACATGAGGAGTATGTTGTACTCTGGCATCACAACAGCGGGGCTGTCACTAGGTAATAGGAGTTTGGCAGCTCCATTAATGTCTTACGGGGCCACCGTCACACATGCAAGCCATCATAGCCAAATCATCATTATGCCTGTTCGATTGTATTTTCATTTTAAACTAGATCATAAGGATTAAGAAAGGGAACAAATATTTTGAATATTGTACATTTTCTAATTTCTTCAAAATGATTAGAATTAATAGTGTTTGGCTGAGGAGGACCCTGAACTCTGCCACTCCTAATCCTGAATCCGTGCTCTGACTCACTCTCCTGCAAGTGGCATTTGAGTTAAAACTGCTAACAGATTCAGGCTTGTACACAGCAGTAGAGAAGGTAATCTTGTGGCTGAAGGGCAAGCTGTTGAAACTCACTCCCATCATTTCACCAACTTCTAGGGTGAAACTCTAATAAAACACAAAAAGTTGTTTCTCTAAGATAATTCTATTCTAATTCTATTGGTTCCATGTCAAAATTCTTTACAATTAAATCATGTGCGCTCCTCAGGTACGAATTGAAATTAGCCGAAAGGCTGAGAAGAGGACCACTCTGGTGCTATGGGGTGGCCTTGCCTACATGGCCACGCAGTTTGGCATTTTGGCCCGGCTCACCTGGTGGGAATATTCCTGGGACATCATGGAGCCAGTCACCTACTTCATCACCTATGGAAGTGCCATGGCTATGTACGCATATTTTGTAATGACGCGCCAGGTAAGAAAGTCTTCAAGTAACATTTTCTAGGAAGTAATGAAGCTTCTCTTGTCAGAGTGGGTCTTTCTCTCATATTCTTTCCAAGGCCAGTTCTCCTCTAAGTACTCGGTACATGGTTTTATGCGCATGTGTACACACAAATATTGATGTCAGTTATATATCAGGCAGTGTTGTAGGTGATAAAGACAGGTGTAAGCTGTGGCTTCTGCCTTTTTGAAGCTCAGAGACTAGTAAGAGAGCATACAAATCACTACATTAGAAAAATAGACTATCATAAGAATAGAAAGAGAGAGCAAAGGACTCCTGCAGTGGCCAACTTGTTTACTCGCATCTTTTTAAATATGTTATGTAATTAATTTAACAGTTGGATGAGAAATATCACATACTTTCTGTTGCGTTTTTGGAATAAAGAATTGGTGATAACTAATCAAATCCTTACACTCTGAACTACTTCTGTATATGTGAAAGTGTAGGAGTCGTGTTGATGTTTTACTGCGTGGTTAGGCATATTAGATACCTAGTCACTCCTCCTGGACTTAGTTGGACCACCCTGAGTGAAGAGGAATTGTCTTGTGCCATATGTAAAAGTTAAATATAAGTAATATGTGTGACTAATAACGCTTCATTTTTTAAATTTGTCATCATAACAGTTTAAAAAAAAAAAAGAGTGGGCTGGGGATTTAGCTCAGTGGCATAAGTACCTGCCTTGCAAGCAGGCGGTCATGAGTTCGATCCCTGGTACAGATAAAAAAGAAAAAGACAAAAAAAAATTAAAAAAAAAAAAAAAAAGAGGGCAAGCAGCCTACACCAGTTACACACGTCTGCGTTCTTTATCAACCAAAGCTTATTTATTATGTAGAACTAGTTTATTTCCAGTGCTGATTTAAATATCTTGGGATGCTCTGGGAAGTCTGAGGGGTTTATCGTCACTTTTTTTTTTTTTTTTTGGTCTTTTTCCTTTTTATCAGTACCAGGGATCGAACCCACAGCTGCCTGCTTGCAAGGCAGGCACTTATGCCGCTGAGCTAAATCCCCAGCCTCTTAATATTATTTTTTTATTTTTATTTTCTTTTTTTTGTCTTTTTCATTTTTATTGGTACCAGGGTTCGAACCCACGGCTGCCTGCTTGCAAGGCAGGCACTTATGCCGCTGAGCTAAATCCCCAGCCCCTATCGTGACTTTTTAAAGTGTACTGGTGACGAGTGCAGAGCCCCCGTGTGCTAAGCCCTGCTGTACTCCTGCACTACTATGCCAGTCCCATCACATCATTCCGATGCCATCACAGATCCAGCCTAGCGTTCTCTTGAGTAAGAGACATCTGAAGTAGCTGAGACACAAGAGACTTTTTCTGCTTTCTTGCATATCAAGGGAAAGCTGAGAGTCGCATCACATATTTTTATATGGCTGCTGTTGAACATAGGTGTTTTCTTTCTGTCGTTCATTCAGTGGTCACAGGCCTCTTTATATGCAGGAAAATGAAAGAACAAGAATGTTATTTGATCACCAGACCTCCCAAACATGTCTAGAAGAAAAGAAAGGAGGCTCTTCCTGTCCTGCTAATGCCTACCCAGAGTTGGCTGCATTGTCTGGCTTGTAATAGTTACACAGAATTGAACAGCTGTATCATTTGTATCTAATCACAACTGTGTCCCCCTCTGCTCCCTGGACATTTATAACTGGCTCCTGTCTGTCCTTTGCAAATGTCTCTTGACTCCACTGTGTCTTCTGAACAAACCAAATTACGTTAGCTCTTCCTCTTGATTTCCCAACACTCCATCCCTGTCTTCATATCGTTCATTCAAGTGGGAAAGCTCTCCCTGTTGATCTCGACCCGCCACATTTTGAGACTTACTAGCTTTCCTGAACCTTTGGTGAGCTCCCTCCGGCAGACTTCAGTCTGTCTCTCTTCTGAAGTCCCTAGTACACTGTGCCTCTCCTCTCATCCATCCCATGCTATCTTGTGCTGTAATTATTTCTGCAACATCTTTTCCCTCCTGCTAGATGCTGTCTTTTGAGGGCTGGCTATTTTGTTTCATTCCATTTTTATTTCCTTATCATGTAACATAGGGTATATCTGTACTATACTATATGTGGAAGACCTAGTGAACGGAACATAGAAAATTAATCACAACCGTACCTAGCCATACTCTAGGGCTTTTCCAGTTATATCTTGAAACTAGAGACCAACTTTCATGTGCCTCTTGCCAATCCATGAAGTATAAAATTTCCTTGTGAACTTTGGGTTTCCTTGATTGTTGAAATGCTGGAATGATTAAGCATTCTTCACACTTCTGTAAAATGTCCATGCCTTTAGTGTGGTCATTACTATCAGTTACCTTTTCCTGAGACCATATTTAACCTCAGCCTTGTAAATATATGCTGCCATTTCATAGCTGAGGAACTGAGACTCAGCGAGGAAAAGTAATCTGCTCTGCTGTTGACTTCATTTATGAGTAGTTACTTATGGAAACCATAAATAGTCTGGATCTAGGATAGAAAAAGAAACATATTGGAGAATAAGTACAGCTTACAAATACTTCTGTCTTGCAAATGTTTCCTTCGACTGTACAGGAATGTAGGTATTCATGTGAGCACAGCGCCATCCCTTTTTCCCCTCATCATGTGATAGGATCTTTAATATTTTTCTTTCTTAACTAGTAAATGCTCCCATTCTGCAATTCCCAAAATGTTGTTGCTGCCCTCAAGTGGCAAGCTGTAGAACAGCAGTAGTGAACGCTTTGGCACTATTCACATAGAAAAGAAAACCACTGCCAAGAAAGGTAGTCTTTTTATATTAAATGTCCTTTACCTAAGTAATATCCATCCCTAACACCACGAAGCAGCACACCTATTCAATAACATTTAACCTTTTATAAACTCTTACAGAGCCGTAGCATTTGTTAGCAGCCTAAATACATCCCAATAAAATCTTTACAAGATGACCTGTTCTTTGAAATAATAAAATCCAGTGAAACGTTGAATTTCACCAATATTCCAGTGAACCCTGGCGCCTATTTATATTATATGGAAAAAGCCCCTGGCAGTGAGAACTGAGAGCCCGAGTACTGCAGCGAGCATGTGGCCCGCCCAGCCTGCTATCCAGCCCTCGCCTTTTCAGGAGAAGAGCTGCGGGAGGGGTGGAAATTGGTTCTTGGGAGAAAATCATCACAGATATTGCAGTAAATAAATAGATATATACGGTATAGCTGAGGTAGCAGACCTTCTTGGGAAGGAGGACAATCAGGTAAAAAGTGTCTGGAGAAGACTTTTAAGAAGCAGTAATTAAAAGCAAGACTGAGAAACATCAGACTAACCTTTAGTACCTTCATTTGTTTGGTCTTTTTTTCCTTCATTTTACCGTCTATCGCATTATACTAGCACCGGCAAACCCGCCAGTGGCCATTCAGTACCTCTAGAGCTTCCTCCCTTATGACATAAATCAATATTCTAACTTCTGGCCCTAATTTCTTTTCTTTCTCCCCTCTTTATTTGCTCACTGTCTCATCTGATCTCAAGAGGACCTTCAGGCTACTGACATCTTTCTGTTAACTTCGCCGTCACCTACTTCCTGAATGGCCTCCCTTTCTATCTCACTTAACTGCCATTCTCTTCCTAGTGCCCTGCAATCCCTGGGCCCTAGTCCTTCTGTGGTATGTATTCTACAAAGCCCTCATTTGGAGTGAATCAATCCCCTCGTCCTGCATTGAGGCCTGCAAACACTGCTGGAGAAAAAACCTGGGATAGTGCGCAGCGGGCCACTGCTTGTTCCTAACTGTATTTCCTGCTCCCAAGCCACCCCGGTACTTATTCTAAGAATTCACATCCAGCCCCCAGCCCACCCTTAACCTTGCCTCCTACTTCTAGAAAATTGAAGAGGCAATATTTTTTCCGATTTCTAAACTCTGTGAGTTTAACTCTGTCTGTACCTAGTTTCATCTTATCTTTCTTCAGGCCTTTTCCTGTTAAGGGTCAGCCCTCCGTCTGTTCTTAATCCCATTCCCTCCCTCTACGAGCCTATCTTAGTTTAGTTTTTGTGTTCTCTTTGTTTTCAGCCTCAACCTCTTCTCACTGTGTCTCTTCTCACTATGCAGTCATGAAATTTCTAGAATACATTCAACTTAGTTGTTCAGTTAATGTCTCATGCCCAAAGAACACAGCACAGAATAGATCTTTAATTTACATTTACATCCCAAGCAAAGATAAATACATAACCTACTTCTGGTTCTTAGTCCACGTCATTCCTTCAGTCAGTGTTACTGACTCACGCCTCAATTTCACCCATTTCAAAGACTTCCAAAGCCCCATAACCTACCACTCATCCAGCATCTGTAATCACCAGTTAAATAATTAAATACTCAGATAATTAGCTCATTCCCCCTGAGCGTATGTTAAAGTTGTTAAATAAAATATAACACACAATTGTCTGAAGATACTAGAGAGCTAACAAAAATGACAGGCAGGGCTGAGTGGGAGAGAAATGCCAGGAAGCTCAGGCTAGTATTTAGGGGTGCTTTTCTCTCTGCAAATGTATCCTGATCAGGCAGAGAAAGGCTGAGAGGCCAAGCAGCTGAGCCATACTTGTAACCTGGGGAGCCGAAGCCTAGAGACTGGTACCCAGGGGCACTGAAGAGGTGCTGCACCCTTGCTTAACTTCCAGAGACCATCGTGGCAGGACACGGATGAGTCCGCTGTAAGCCGTCCTCCATCCGTGCAGCACAGGAAGTTGGGCTGAAGCGGTGGGGGACGGGCAGTCCCAGAGTGTCGGTGCGCGCAGGTTCCAGGCAGAAGTGAGCATTCATCATCCCTGGGAGGAAATAACATGGCCTTCAACCTTAATTGTCTCACTAATATTTCGCCGATACACGTTTACTCATTCAATAAAAAATAAGCAGGTAGGCCAGGGTTTAGCTTAGTGACACAAGCGCCTACCTGGCATGCGTGAGGTCATGTGTTCGATCCCCAATACCAAAAAAAAGCAGATATACAAAGAAGTTTCTACAGAAATAGTAAATTTTAGAAATAGAAACAGATCAGATATTGGCATTATTATAGATAGCCTTTAATTACATTTATTATATTCAGGAAGACAAAAATCAAGATTGAGAATATTGGCAGATAACTTGTTTTTTTTTAAAGAACTGAATGAAAATTCTAGCAATGATATGTAGTACATGGGCTTCACAGATTATACATAACTAAAGGCAGAAATTGTGGGGCTGGAGGTATAGTTAAATGGTACAGTACTTGCCTAACATGTACAAGGCCCTGGGCAGCCCCAGCAGTGCAAAAAAGAAAAAGAAATAGTGACCTGAAAGAAGTCAAAAGCAACTATTCAAAGTGATGTTGAGAAAGACAAAAAAGGTGTAAAATTCAGGAAGGGTAAGAGACACAGATGATGCAGTGATGATCCCTGATATGTATTGAATTTCATTGGTATCTTAGAAGAAGAGACACTGAGGAGAAACTATTTTAAGAGGCGATGGCTGAGCTGAGCGGGCACACCTGCAGCCCTAGCTCTCAGGAGGCTGAGGCAGGAGGGCCATTGTGAGTTCCAGGCCAGCCTGGGCTATGTAAGCTGAGAATTTTCCAAAATGATTAAAGACATAAATTTGCAGATTCAAGAACCTCAACAAATACCAACCAATCTAAAGAAGAGAAATCCACATCAAGACTGATCAGTAGCAAAATTTCAAAACTCAAAGCCAAAGGAGAAATAAAGGCATGTTTTCAGAGGGCTGAAAACTGACTTCTCAGCAGCAAGAGTGAAACCAAAGGCAGCAAAGGGTATGTTCAGTGTGCGAAAAGAAAATAACTGCCACCTAGAGTTGTATACATAGCAAAAAATATCCTTTCAAAGAGAGGCCTGGGGATGTAGCTCAGTAGTACAGTGTTTGCTTGACATGCCTGAGGTCCTGGGTTCAGTCTGCGGCACCAAAAAAAAAAAAAAAAAATCCAAAAATAAAATAAGACATTTTTCAGAAAAATAGAGAATTTGTCTGAGTACTAAACACTAAACTCAGAGGGAGATTATCACAGGCAGAAAGTGAAAAAAACAGGAAGAAATGAAGATAATGAAAATTATCATTGTGTTAGTGAATCTAAATGAATATTAATTGTATAAAACAATTATAAACCCTTATGGAATTTAGAGTATAGGAAAAATTAAAATACACAACATCAATAGCCTGTAGTCCTGGAGTGGGCAGGTACACAAGGTGTTCTGATGTCCCTTCATTGCCTGGAAATGGTGTGAAAGCACAACTGTTCAGCTTGAAGAGCCCATCTCTCTCTCTCTCTGTCTCTCTCTCTCTCTCTCTCTCTCTCTCTCTCTGTCTCTCTGTCTCTCTCTTGCTCTCTTTGTTTTTTGCTTTTTTGTTTTGTTTTTGTTTTTCAAAAACAAACCTAGGACTTACCATATGCTAGGCAAGCACTCTATCACTAAGCTACATCCTCAGCCCCTACGATTACTTTTTAAACCTCCTAGAAATATATCATACAGAATATGTGCAAAGCCTGTGCAGAAAAACATAAAGGAGACTTAATAAGTGGAATGTTAAGACTATACTTGTGGACTTAAAAGTAAGTAGTGCAAACATGTCAGTTCTACCCAGTTGCAGTGGTTGAGACATTGTGTCAACTTGAGAAACTTAGAAGTTTAACTGAGTGATGGCAGCAGGAGGCCAGGGTCCTCAGCACCTTGGGGAAGATGGGCACAGCCTGCATACAACAGAAGGGAGAAAGAGGCTTGCAGTTTCTACCCTTCTGGCTTTTGCTGTCTTCCACCACCTTGAACCGTTGCCCCCTGCCTTTCAGACCTGATTACAAAATGAAATGTCCACAAACTGTGAGCTAAAGAAAACTTTCCTCCCTTAATTTTGAGTATTGGTTATTTTGTCTCAGCAATGAGAGAAAAGTAAGTGACATTCCAGTGATCTGTTATACTCAGTGTAACCCTAGTCAAAATTCCAGTAGATCTAGTGATAGGGCAAGAGATTTGAATAAATGTCTTCTAAAATTGACACAGAAATGTAAAGGAGTAAGAAAAAACAAAATAAAATAAAATAAAACTTTTGAAGAAAGAGTAAATGGATTTGCTCCATGCGATATCAGGACTACCGCTGTGGTCTACCACTTCAGTAATTAAGACAGTGGCGTGAGTATAGACAAATAGACCAATAGGCAATAGAGTCTAGAGACAGACCCAGTATAAATGAACTTAGAATTTGAAGAACGTGACAATATAAGGAAAGCAGAATCTTTTTCAATACATGATGATAAAACAGTTGTGTTGTGGATATTAAATACTCATATAAAATGAGATGCTCCTATGTATATCATTTTATATGAATATTTATCTCATTTTATATGAAACAAAAATTAATTCAAGATACCTTATAAATCTGAATATGAAAAGTAATACAGTTAAGCTCCTGGGAGATAATGTAAGGAAATATCTTCATGACGGTGGAATAGAGAATGGCTTCTTATACAAACGAGAAGTACTAACCATAAAGGGTAAGAATGAAAAACTGGACTACATCAGAAACTTAACTTTGCTATATTAAAGAACACCTTGAGGGAGGTCGCACGCTAAAAGGATACATTTGTAGCCAGTCTGGGGGCACACATCTGTATCCCAGATCTCTGGGCACCTGAGCCCTAAGGATCGTGCATTCACATGATTTGCCTAGGCAAGTTAGCAACTCAAGAAAACCAGGCCTCAAAATTTAAAAAGGCTGGGGATGTAGCTCAGGGTGAAGACCCTGGGTTCAGTCACTAGGAATGCCAAAAAAGAGAGAAAGATTATAGTACTGTGTATTATACCATATAATCCAAAATGCAGGGAGTGTTGAGTTATTGTCTGCCTTTTATTACAGTGGAAGCCGTACCGCAGTTAATCCCCCTCAAAATAGTCCCCTTTGCTTCCAACCCGCCTCCCACCGTCTCAGCACTTTCTGAAGCAGCTCTGGAGGTCATCTCGGTGTCTTTAGTTACCTGCCCGGCTGCGTCCATGTCCAGAACCGATACGGTTACCTTGCGCCTGCGTCTTGACTTTAGGGAAGAGTCAGGAACTGACAGGGACAGACCCTGAGCACGGTGGGCCCCGGCTCACGTTTTACAGGCTCCTTTCCTGGCCGGAGCCTGAAGGCAGCGCTCACTGCAGTTCGTATCACACCAGAAGGACGACTGCACAACCGCTTCAGAAACTGGCAGGACAGGCGGAATGAGCATGCCTGAGGAGAAGGGGAGCATGTTGAGGGAGATTAACGCCAGGGTGTCTTTTACTGCAATGAAAATTTTAAATTTAAGCTTTGTATATTTTAAATCTAACAAAGAATGTGTAACCAGAATAAATAAATTCTACAGATTGGTAAGAAAAGAGACACCAATAGAAAAAAGACGGTAAGAGATTGTGAATAACACTTCTGAAAAAGTTATGTAAATGGCCAGTAATCTATGAAATGGAAAGGCGGATCCCCCTGAGTGATAAGGGAAATATTCTTAGTCTCCAAGAGAAATGAAAACCTCCTGTCCACCCGAAAGCTTGTACGTGAATGTTCATAGCAGCTTTATTCTTAAAAGCCAGAAAGTAGAAGCAAACCAGGTCCTGTGAACTGATGACTGGGTAAATACATATATTGTACCCATTCGGCAGAATATTATTTGGCAATAAAAAGAAATTAATGACAGATACACACAACCAATGAATGAGATTTGAAAACATTATGCTAAATGAAAGAAGCCAGACACGAAGGCCCCGTGTTCTACGGTTCCTCTTACTTGAAATGTCCAAAATAGGCAAAGCTCTGCAAACAGAAGGTAGGTTAGTAGTTGCCTAGAACTAGGAGTGCAGGGGAGATGAAAAGTAACTTAAAATACACGGGGTTTCCTTTTCAAGTGATGGAAATGTTCTAATGTCATAATGGTTGCAGATTTTGCTACTAATAATTGAATATAGTACTTCAAATGGGTAAATTATCTGTGAATTATATCTCAGTAGACCATGTTTTTTAATATCGCTGCTGTACAAGTACCAAAATGACTGGCATTGTTGAACTGCAGTACCAACTATTGGCAAGAAGCTGGAGTGATGGTAAACCTCCTGTCTTGCAGATAGCACAGTTGGTGCCACTTTTAGAAACTTTGGCCATCACTTCTTAAGTTTGAATACATGCACCTCTGTGACTGAGGTACAGACTCAGAAGAGATGAGTCCAGATGTTCTTGAAAGTGTTGTTTATGAGAGCCTGAACTGGAAAATAACTCCGTAGCCCATGTAGAGTAGAAAGAATAGGTGAATGGTGGTCTTGTATATAATAGAACATAGCCTCTCAGGGGAGACGAGCGGACTGCAGCTGTGGAAGAGGAGTCTCAGCCTGAAGCGCACCAGTGGTTCCAGATGCCCAGGAGTCGAGGCAGGAGGATCCCTTGAACCCAGGAGTTCAAGGTGGTCTGAGCTCCTCTCAAAAAGCAAAAATACAAAGTTTAAGAAGTAAATATTTAATAGCACAGTGGACATATGTATTAACTCTAATCAACAGTAAATACTTATTTCATGAGAATAGTATGCTAAGGACTCAGGTTTTTTACCTTTGTTTTGTAGGAATATGTTTATCCAGAAGCCAGAGACAGACAATACTTACTATTTTTCCATAAAGGAGCCAAAAAGTCACGTTTTGACCTAGAGAAATACAATCAACTCAAGGATGCAATTGCTCAGGTAAGTTTTCTAAAAATTAAGATAATCTAAGCCCCATCTTGTATGATATCATTATGATCCATAACCACAGTACTTCAAATGGGTAAACTGGGAGAATGATCCAGGCCTCTTCCTCCTGTGTTCCTCAGTTAATAAAATTGACTAAGCAGTAGACACTTCTATAATGATTTTACAGTATAAGTAGATGAAAATATTACAGGTCCTTTCTACCTTTTAACATTAGCATCCTGATATTTTTAAGCCCACTTCTACTTTCGTTTCTTTAGAACCATCTATTTTTTAACTAGAGTTGTCTACACTTCTGTCTTTTTAATCTTCCCAGAATTGTTGACCCAAAGACTTCCCACCTAAAATGTGTGGTGGCAGGGGGGCAGGAATAAAGCCCAAGGCGGGTGTGTGGGTGCACTGCTGTCACACAGCACTCGAGCAGGCTGAGGCAGGAAGATCATAAATCTGAACTCAACCTGGCCAAGAGCTGACTTAGCAAGAGACCCTGTCTCAAAACTTGAAAAACAAAACAAAACAAAACAAAAATCTTTAAAAAGCTGAGGACATAGCTTAGCATGAAGACACTGGGTTCAATCTTCAGCAGCACCAAGAAAAAGTAAAATCCAGGTAAGGAGAGACGAAGGGAAATCTTTGCCAAGCACAGGCCAGAGACTATTAAACTAAAAGATACTTTTTTAAAAAATGGTATGTTGCATCTTTCAAGTCTCTTGGATATGCTTCCCTCTGTCTAATATCTTTCATTTTGGGGAATAAATCCTCACTACTTTACTCCATAGTCTTTTGTGACTTTGGAGATTTTGTTTTTTATTGTTTGTTGTTGTTGTCTTTAAGTCCTCTTTAATGCTCAGTTGCTCTTCTCTGCCTTTTTCCTTTCCTTTTTTTTCTGAGACAGGGCTCACTGTATGGCCCTGGAACTCACAGTGATCCTCCTGCCTCAGCCTCCCAAGTTCTGGGACTACAGTCGTGCAGCACCACACCGGGCTTCTTCGATGCTTCTGTCTCTCTGTAGTGATGAGGCTGTGCTCTGAATAGGCTTACCCCGTCTCCCGCCTCACTCTCACAGCGCTCGGTCTTCTGTTGTATGTGTGCTGGTTCACAGCTGAAGGGAATGCTGAGCACAACCATCTTTGGAGCTCTTACAAACTTTGGAGCCCCACCCAAAGCTCCTCCAGGCAAGGTCCAAGCGCGCATTGCATCTTCAGGGTGCTGAAGTTGCCTGCACATCCTTGCTTTAAAGTTGACTTAAGTGAAAAACAGATACTGAATAAAGTCTTCAGTAGCATAAATTACAAGTTTTGGATCCTTGCAAAACTTTGTGCTACAACACATGCACACTGACACATCACAGTGTCTCCAAAGTGCTTTGTGCTCTGAGGCCCTGGGCCTTACCCTTTGCCACAATGCCTTTCTAGAGGGCTTGTCGTCAGCTGACGCTGCCACAGACTTGTATTCTGGATTCCGTCTTTGTTAGGTCCCACCTCTTTGTCTTCTGATTTTCAGAGTAACCTAGGTGCTCGTTCAACTCAGAGTAATGGAAGAAAGGCTGGTTTCTTTTCTCAGTAGGCAGTAATACCACTGGAAGCTTCACTAAGCCAGTTTCTCTCCCTTTGTCTTTCTATTTTAGGCAGAAATGGATCTTAAGAGACTGAGAGACCCATTACAAGTACATCTGCCCCTCCGACAAATCGGTGAAAAAGATTGATCCGCAAAGAGCCTGTGAATCCTGCCGGAAAGAACACCTGTTTATAACTCTTGCCTTTTTAATTAAAGCATTGCAGGTGGAAGCTGGGCGTCATGTGGGAGTAGAGGGTTTTTACCTTTAATTACAAAACAAAAATAAAAAAGATCGTAGGGAAGAAAGGAATGTTAAAACCTGAGGATCAGGGATCATGGAATATGAGCTCAAAGGGCTTAGTGAATATTGTCTTAATCAGGCATCTCAGATTTTGGATGAAATGATGCAATTATGTAATTAAGAGATTCATAAAGAGAAAATGATGCTGGCGTGTTTGTTTCTTGCATTTTCTTTGCAGAGTCAGCAAAACAGTAACACACCAGCACCCCTCTCACCTCTATTTTTTTTTTATTTAACATTTCTTATTTTTGACATAGGAGTAAATAAATATACCGGAAATTAAATCCTCATGGTATGTGGGTGGCAAACAGAGTGTGAGTCCTTATCATTCGCATCTGTTTTAAATTGGACCCGGTCTCTGCAAAGATACCAGGAATCGCTCCCTTCTACACCCCTTTTCTGACCACTACCTGTCCCTCTTGGTTACACTAATTTATCCAAATGTTAATCAAGCCAAGCTATAACTGTTTGATAATTGACACTTTGGATTGTCCCTTAATTTTTTCTTAAGATTACCAGAGCTCTGGAGCAGAATCTAGAAATCACTGGCAATACTGCATGAGGTTTTTCTGTTTTGTTTTGTTCTTTTAATTCATTAGTCTCTCAGAGGAGAAAGACCTTCTCTCCTTTATCCACCTGTCCCACTGATGGTCCCTGCTCTCTCTACCAGGTTAGAGGGAGAGTGTGCAGCTGTATTACCAAATCAGAAAGATGTGAGGTTTACTGGTTGGCTAAAACATCACGTCTCTGTGGCTGTTTCAGAACCAGAATAATGTCATCGCTGTTAATCTGCTTGTGTGACAGCATTCCAGACCACCCTAATGGCACTGCTGTGTCTGGAGGTTTCATTGATCGCGGAGGACACACACTTCTGCACTGTTTGTGAGCCCTCCTGCCTCCACCACTGCAGTCGTTGTAAATCAAGTGTGCGGATCTCCACGGGTGCAGTTTATCTTTATACAGTAATACATTTCTATGGCTTCCTCCAGCCTATTTTCTCCACCGTATTTTTTCCTATCTTGAATTGAGAATATATAATCTTATATTCTGTCAAAATGTTTTCTACCATATTTCAAGCCGACATCTGCACTTGAGGAGTCAGAGGGATCTGTGTGGTGCCTGTTTATAACTGCTGTGGAGCAGGACGGCCAGGAGATGGCCTTGCCCTGTGACTCGCGGGCCCTCCTCTCCCCTGTGATTCATCCCTCTTCATGTGGCAAAAGGCTTCTTTCTCTCTTTTTCCTGCTTCGGGATCATTTTATATGAAAAGGAATCCTTTAAGTGGCAGACCCAGACTCCAGGTGCCTTGCAGAGGTTGAAGGCCAGCCAGGGCTGCTGCCGCTCCCGCTGCCACCCTTCACTGGCATGACGGAATGACAGGATGCATGTCGCCAACCCAACCCGCCTCCCTCTTCCTTCCCTGTCCAACTCCCACACCCCCGTTTATTTTCATTGTGTGGATTATTTTTAAACCATTTATCCTGTTTGTGTGCAGGGTTTTTAAGAAGAAATAGCACAGTGCAATGAACAAATGCTTTTGGGGTGTGTGGGAGGCAAGGGAGGGAGGACATGGAGAAAAGTCCTTTAAACAATAGCAAAATACTGAATGTGTAAAATCCTGTATCATTTATGAAATATGTATAAAAAGCAATGTACCTTCTGGAACAATAAATACTTATTCAATTTTTGAATAATAGCATCTCATTCTTTAAAACAAAAGCACAAAGAAACTTTGTGATTCCAGGTGGGAAGCATTTTCATCTAAAATTTCTTTTATGTCTTTTTCTTTTTTATCGGTACCAGGGATCGAACTCACGACCACACACTTGCAAGGCAGGTGCTTATGCCACTGAGCTAAATCCCCAGCCCCCTAAAATTGCTTTTAATAATTATTAAATTAAGCTTCCTTATTACAGCCTGTATTTTAATAACAGGCATTCCACGGCTTTTTCCTGAACTAGGATGTTAATTACTTTTCAAGTTTTCCAGAGCCATCAAGAGGTTGAATGACCTCTGCTACCATTCAGAAAGTCAGCAGCAGGATGGACACTGACACCCTCATGTCCTGATGAATGGGCAAGTGCTCCATTATCTCAGACCACCTTATTACCCTACACTTCAGAAAGGTGCTCAAGAAGAAACTAAGGTTAAATAGTATTTATTTTCAAAGATCACATCCAATTTACAATGGTCACCGAACAGGAAATGCTGCTAAATCTGCCAAAGGTGTATCAAAAATGTGTTGTGTCTGGTGGCTTTAGTGCATGAGGAGGGGACATGCAAAGGGCCTGCATGGCGAGGGTTCCGCGCCAGGCAGCAGCAGCAGCTTAGCACCGAGTGCCCTGCGATGCATGTAGGGTACAAAAGAAGACTAAAAACATGAAGCCGCAGTGTGTGTTGAACAAATAATGATCCACAGTCTACACATTCTGACAAGCTTTGCTGTGGAGACTTTTTTTTTTAAAGAAGAAAATAAAAACACGATTCCTGCTGGATACAGTGGCACCTGTCTGTAATCCCAGCACTCTGGGAGATTGAGGCACGAAGATTGCAAGTCAGTCTGGAAAACGTAGCAGGAATGTTTGCCAAAAAAAGGACTGGAAAGGCAGCTCAGGTCAGCGTAGAGACCGTCGGTTCAGTCGCCAGTCCCATAAATGAATGAGTGGGTGGGAGTCCTGCCACCAAGGAATCTACAATTTAAAGGGTTTGTTTTGTTTGTTGTTGTTTTTGGTGGTACCAGGCATCAAACTCACAACCTCATATTTGCCAGGCAGGTGCTTATGCCATTGAGCTAAATCCCCAGCCCCACAGTTTATTTTAAACACAGTGAGCTCAACAAGAAAAAATAAGTACTGATAAAAGGCAAATAATAGACATTTCTCTGAAGAAGACATACAAATGGCCAATAAACACATGAGAAGATACTCTTCCACTAATTATTAGGAAATTTAAATCATACCCATGATACCACGAAATATCACTTCCTACCCATTAGGATGACTACAAAAGGAAAAAACAAGTATTGGCTGCTGGGAATGTAACAGTCCATGTCAAAAAGTGAAACAGAGTCAGCATGATTCTGCAGCTGTGCTTCTGTGTATAAGCCCAAAAAAAGTCGACAGGACTCTAGCGAATATTTGTACATAAAATACAATACGTGCATACAGTGGAGTATAATTCAGTCACCAAATAATGAAATTCTTACATATGCTACAATATAGATGAACCTTGAAGACAGTATCCTAAATGAGCACCTCACAGAAGCACTGATACTTTAAGATTCCCCTACTGTGAGGTATCTAAGGATAGTCAAATTCATAGAAATATAAATTGTGGATTCTGGGGAAAGTAGGGAGCATTAAAAACTCAGTGTTTGGTGGGTATGAATCTTTGGTTTAGGAAGACGGAGAAGTTCTACAAGTGGTTGGTGATTCTGGTTGCAGGTAATGTGATTGTACTTAATGCCACTTAAAATTGACTACACTGTAAAGTTTGTATCATCTGTATTTTATTACCGAAGAAAAAGGCATAGTGAAGGGGCTGGGGATTTAGCTCAGCGGCATAAGCGCCTGCCTGGCAAGCGTGAGGCAGTGAGTTCGATCCCTGGTACCAAAAAGAAATGAAAGTCATAGTGAATTTTCATTAGAGACAGATTATGGTCAGTGCGAAATGTATTACTGTGTTTGTTAATATAGGCAGTTTTGAATTGGAAAACCCAGGGTTCTCAGAGTCCTCCCTGGAGCGGCAGGTGACATCACCTGGGAATCCATAGAAATGTAAGCCCCATTGAGCCAGAATCTAGCACGGGCAGCAAGCTGAGTTCCACAAGCCCTACTAGTGATTCTCGTGAAAGGAAACTGACACCCAGTGTGTCACAGCTCATCAGTGAATCCTGAAATCAAACACCAGACCCAGTGGTGAAAAGGTCAGTGAGTCTGATCGTGGTAAACAGAAAAGCTGCGTAGCCACAGTTCCTGTCTCATGTGAACGTGATTCCCTGCTTGAGAGTGTAGTGGTAAACTCTCAGATGCTTTCAAAAAGAAACATAAATAGGTTGCATTTTTTTAAAAAAATCTATCTGGAAGCATTTCACAAAAAAGGGGAACGTCTTAGACTTTGGAACTCAGTTTCACCAAAACTATAAGTGTTGCATTCATTTTTATTTCTGCCAATAACCTTTGGTTCTTCACGTTTCCAAATAATTCCAAACTCCTTGTCTTCCGTGCTGCACTTTGTGGTTATTTCCTTAGGATAAATTGTGAAGGTTAATTTAAGGAATCTGGTTGAAAATAGTTACCCACTTCTGTACATTTTCACTTCCGTTTGTTGTATAAATGTATCACATGCTGAGCAACTCCCCCTCCTTCAGGCCCTTCAGCTCCTGTGATCTCACTCTGGCTCCACCCATAAGTCTCGGGCTCTGTCTCAGACTCTGTTACAGCACCCTCTTCATCAGCCCATAGCTTTGAGGCCAGGCCTCCCCCAGGCGCCATTTTGGATCCCAGCTCCACAGGTGATCTCTGTGTTAATAGCTGGCACTACTTGAGGGACAACAGACCAGCTTCTACTTCCTACCCAATGTGTTTCCACCACTGCCCTCTGTACACTGATTTCCTTCAGTGTCACCAGTATATTTTAAAATTCAGTTAGCATACACTTTAGAAAGAGTAGAAGGTTAAAAACAAGTGTTAACATTAAATGTGAGGGGCTGGGTGTGGTGGTGCTTGCCTATAATCCTAGCAGCTGGGCTTCAAAGTGAGCTCAAGAAGAGCCTGAACCCTGTCTCAAAAAGACAAAAAACAAAAAACAAAACATTAAATATGAGGGAGGAAAAGCTAAAAGATACCTCAAAGAAACAACCAGCTATCCAAACTATGGCCCATTCTGTACAACAAATGATAGGGTATGTTCAACAAATGGCGTGCAGGAAAAGGGAAAGGACGTTATAGAGTAAAGAAAATTTAAGTGAGCACACCAGATGAAATAGATGGTATAAATTTGTTTGCATCCTGATGCAAACCAGCAATAAAAAGAATATTTCAAACTATCTGGAAAATTTAAACATGAATGAGGTGTTGGCTACTCATTACTACTAACTTTTATAGTTGTAATAATGGCATCATGATTACATAAAGAAATAGGCATGTTAAAAATGCACATATAAGTGAAATATTAACAAAACGTTAGCAATTATTACACCTGGATGTACATTATTGTTCTTTCTACTTTTGCATACCTTTTTTATATATAAAAAGAAAGGGCAGGTCAATTGAAAAGGAAAAAATAGAAATAAGGGTAAAAAAACATACATCCTGGAAATCCTTGTTTACAGAATCAAAGGGCTATTTGTTAAAAGTCCTTGACTCTAGCAATCAATCCTGGCAGCAAATCTGGCTTTATCTCATACTCATGTCCTCTGTTTCTCTGTAACACATACGAAGCACTCAGATGGCTTCTTAGGGACAGGAAATTGTGGGGGTTGGTTTTTTTGGATGGAAGCGCTGACACTTTCACAGCAGTGGTTCACAATGAGACAGTCCCAGGGTCCCCCACTGCTGGCATCAAACCCCAGCTTAATTCCCTAGCAGTCAGGTTACCCACGTCCTATTAACATCAATGAGAAAATAACTATCAGTTTAGATCCACTGGAACCACTTAGTAGACTACAGACTGTTTGCAGGGACCACTTTTACCTCATTCCCTGCCAAAACTCCTGGATAAGCTTGGCGTCTGGCCCCTTTGTAAGCACTAACATTTAATTTAATTGATACTTTTAACAGTTCACAATAATTTGAATTCCATTGAGTTCAGCAAAATGCTGTGCCATGAGATTATGAAGACAGCTCTGAGGACTACTTTCCAGATGAAATTTCTTTGCCAGTCACTAGAATTCTGATTAATTAAAAAAAAAAAAAACATGAAACGCAAGAATTCTTGCATGAATGCAAGAATAAAGTTCAAAGCACCCAGCCAAGGAAAGAGAGAGAAAAATGTTGCTTTCACTCAGAACTTTCTTTAAAATAGCATTTTTAGAAAACAGCTCTTTTCTTTAACCTTCCCCTTTACATTATCTTCAGTATTAATGCTTGCTAATTCCCAAGTGTCCAGAGCATTAGAATATCAGAGAGCTACGAGCTCCACTCCTGAAACTACTACGGCTGTGTCTGCTGACCTCCAGGACACTGAACTTTCCAAAATGTTGTTAATGACTGGTTCCTACACTGAAGCTCCCACCCCTTTTTTCATGTGAGAACTGATGAAATAAATAATACTGACATATTAGGAAGTTTTGAGAAGAAAGCCACTATGAAAGTACTAGTTATGACTGCTAGAATAGATAAAAATCACAAGTTTAACTTTGTTGTTTGTTTGTTTGTTTAAGAAATTTTGAGGCCAGAGACAATAATAGAAAAGACTTAGGAGCTTGCTTCAAGAGAATATGGTGCCCATCCCAGACTGGTCACTGCTTTCTTGTGAGCTTTTCTGGTTTTTTAGCCTTCAGAGCAGGACATTCCCTGATGACCTGTTCCAATGACGTGGATTTTTTTCCCTTCTTATTTAATGTGACCACTGTGCAGCGCTATGAGTGTAACACTATGGAATCAATTCCTAGAAGTCCCAAAACAAGTTTTGACATGAGGGGATGTCCCTCGTTTAGAGTTCCCTTCTGGATAAGATACTGGAGATTCATTGTAAGGAATTCCTCAGAGAAAACAATGGGAGGATGAAAGATTGTGAGGGGCTTTTTTTCCCCTTCAAGAAAAATGTCAATAAAATAACTCTGCTGACAGGGCAAAGCGGGGCTTCTATCTGGGGTCAAGGCCAGAGCAGGGGCCACCTTCTCCCCCATCCTCTTCCTCCGATAAGACGCCAGCCAGTACTGATAAGGTCCTTCTCCATAAGAGTTTACAATTTAAAAAGAAAGTACTTGAAAAAGGAACAAAGGCAAACAGATATGAGGAGGGTTTTCCAGTCCACTTCTGGCAGCTGGTCCAGAAAGATGCCTCAGTCCCTGCTGCTCACCGGCCTCTTCATCTTAGTCACTCCCGTGTCGCCCATGGGTGAGTCTTGTGTCATGAACTTGGCACAGAAATTCTGTTGTTGAGATTTGCTCATGTGTGCAGGTTATTAAGAACTAGATGTCAGTGTCTCAAATGCCAGTTTTATAACTGTGTAAGAAAAAAAAATCTCATTGTCTGTGAAAATATATTTCCAGAGGGTTTCTGTTACTTGCTCTGTTTAGCCTGTTACCTGAGCATCCAAAACTTGCACGGGGGGCTGGGGATTTAGCTCAGCGGCATAAGCGCCTGCCTTGCAAGCAGGCAGTCGTGAGTTCGATCCCTGGTACCGATAAAAAGGAAAAAGACAAAAAAAAAAAAAAAAAAACTTGCACGGGTCCACCACATCCAACGTTTTTCCATGAGTTAAATGTTTCTTGGCATACATGGAAAAGGAACTCCAACCTCTTTATATTCTAGGCACGTTTACAGTTCCCACTTATAAATAAAAGATGATCTTAGATTTTAGAGATGAGGATAACTTTCTTTAAATAAGCTCTGTCCTCATGAAAGACATAGATCTGGAAAGTCAGACTTTACCCTTGACCTTTAAAATTTTGTGTGACTTTGTGCTCAGATCAAGCAGCTCCTAAACTCTCTCCAGTTTCTGGTTTGGCACAAAACTGGCCAACTAGGCAGGGAAGTTTCCATTTCACTTACTAGAGTTCTCTCTCAATAGAACCTAAGTTCTGTCTGGAAGAGAGGTGGCAGGTCGGATGACAGAACCATTCCTGCTGGCATTTGTGCATAGCTGGGTATTTGGTTGACCTGATTTATTTCCTCGCAGGAACTCTGGCATTTTAACAAAGTAGGCTTGAGACTTGAAGGAAACAAAGCTAAGTGTAATGTAGAATCCTGGGTGGAATCTGAGACAGGGATTGATGGGAGTAAAAACTAAGGAAATGTGAATAAAACTGTGGTCTTGAGTTAATTATTAACTGGTTCATGGGCTGTAGCAAAGGTGCCACACTAATGTATGCAGTGTGTGTAAACCGAATATGCAGGAGAGCTGGGGGCAGAGTACGTGGGAACCCTTCCGAACTATGCTCTCAATTTTTCTGTAAGTGCAAAACTGTCCCCCAGATAGGCTTCAGCCGCCGCCCTTCATCATCTGTATCTGGGTCCTCAGAATCGTTCTCCCTCAAGTACCTCCAGCCAGTATCTTCCTAGAGCGCCCCAACCTTCACTGTCCCAGCCTCCCTGTCCCAGCCCAGCACCCTAGGAGGTTTGGCTCCGAGGTGGGGGGCCCTGGTGAACGCTTGGGGGCCTGGGAAACAATGGAAGCAAGCAATGAAGAGGGAGAGGAGGTGCAGGAAAGGAGAGGAGGTGAGAAAGCGGGACCCCAAGGGCGAGGGTGAGAGGAGGGGGGCTTCCCCCTGAGCTGGGTGCGGTGGCTGCCTGCGTGGTGAGTCCGGGAAAGGGTGGGGACGCTGGGCTGTGCTCCCCGACCTGCTGCGGGGCGAGAGGGTGGGCGTCCCAGAGAACTAGGGGAGCTGCTGCCGGCCGACCTGGACCCCTAGACGCCAAGGTCAGGAGCAAGGCATGGGCTGTTCTTTTAGAAGCCTTCCCTTGGAGGAGCACCCAGCATCAATTTAGGGTCCACATGCATGACTCCAAATTCTGGACTCCACCCCGAGACTGAAAACAGAATTTAACACCAGTGGCCAGATTGCTAAAGGACTGAGTTGCTATGTTCAAGAGGAATGGAGCAGATGTGAGCGTTTAATGTTAGAAAATATGGAGCGGTCAACATATAAATACACACACATTGTTATTTTACAGCAGGGAGTGGGTCGGTTTCTGCTTCTTGTGTCTCCTGCAACAGAGGAAGGGAACTTTTAACAGCATGATAAGTGACAGCTAACTTTAAGGGAAAACTATAAATCATGGAATAGTCATTACAAGAATTTCTGTAGAAGCCATTAAAGGCTGAGTAGCTAACCATTTCTTACAAAATTAGAGCCAGGAAATGAGCAAAATATTTCTATGAATTTATAATTACCCGTGAAATTGCTCTGGAAGTTTGCTTGGCAAAAGAGCCGCAGCCAGAGAGTAACAGAGAGAATTTTTCCGTTTGAGAGGCTGAGGGTGTTTCTTTCTCTCTAGGGATATCTAACTAGGGTCTTGGATTCAGTTTACATACCTCGGGGTGGGTGGGGGAACATTTTAAAAGACAAGATTACACCTGCCATCTGCAACTCTGCAAATCTATTGTTTCCACAAAATGCAATGTCCCGCTTATTTCTTGTCCCACACTGCTATATTTCTTGTCCCACACTGCTATATTTCTTGTCCCACACTGCTATATTTCTGCTGGTGATGGATTACTCACCAGTGTAATGCATATCGCAGAGCGGCTGACAGGCCAGGGCATTTTCCTTGCAGCAGAAGGACCTTTACATTTTCTATTAAGTTAAACTTCCCACTGAGGCAGAATTCCACTTATAATCTTCTTTACAAGTAGCCATTCAAATCCTTTTTCTTTTAACTGCCACAGATGAGGAAGCTAACTGTGCTTGATGCAGCCTCTCTCGGGCCTGCATAGTTGAACTGCCCTTAGTGATTTGTTGTTATGGTAATCAGCTACTTAATTCCTCTTTCATAAGTCTGTTTCAGAGTTTTCAGAACTAATAAGTATTCTTCAGTCTTCTTTTACCCTTAAACTGTGGTTCTTAGCCTCTTCTCCAGTCACTAATATCTAGATGTAGCCTCTCCTAAGACTGACTTGTGGACTCCACTGGACAGGTGAGTCCATGACTCCATAAAGGACCGCCTCGGGCGTGTGTGCACCCAGGACCCAGAATACACTCTGCCCTGGAGAGCCCTAACCTCCCAGCTAGCCTGCTAGTCAGAGATGACTCAGTACAACACCTAGTCTAATGCTAAATCCTTAAATGGGCTTCAGGTAATGCTGACAAGGGTGTTTGTGTAAAAGGTTTAAACCATGTGGAGAAATCTCCAACAATTACTTTTGGGGGCTTTGGATAATTTCTAGAGCTCAAAAAAGCCAAAATGCAAGACTAAGAGTGTGGACTCCAGCAGCAGCCAGTGCTGTGATCTGAAGGGTCACTAGGTGCCTCTGACGTACCCTCTCCATCCCCAGCCCTAGACCCTTGTTCTGCCTACATCAGCCTCAATGAGCCCTGGAGGAACACTGACCACCAGTTTGATGAGTCTCAAGGGACGCCTCTGTGTGACAACCACATGGATGGGGAGTGGTACCGCTTCACGGGCATGGCGGGGGACGCCATGCCCACCTTCTGCGTACCGGAAAACCACTGTGGCACCCATGCGCCCATCTGGCTCAATGGCAGCCAGCCCCTAGAGAGCGATGGCATCGTGCAGCGCCAGGCCTGCACCAGCTTCAAAGGGAACTGCTGCCTGTGGGACACCACCGTGGAGGTCAAGGCTTGCCCAGGAGGCTACTACGTGTACCGTCTGTCCAAGCCCAGCGTCTGCTTCCACGTCTACTGTGGCCGTGAGTACCTTCCTCCCCTGCAGCTCCACAGCGGGACAGTCCCGAGGGAGACCCAGTGACAGAGTCAGTAGTGTCCCAGAGTCGGAACAACATTGATTTGGCTGGGGACCAGCAAGACCTCCAGGTTGTGATTTCTGAAATCTAGTCTCAGAATTTCTAAAAAATTCCTAAAGAAATGTCACTAGATCAGTTATATTTTTTTGTTGTTTTCTATTCCATTAAAACAAAACATTAGAAAATGAAATGTTGATTTAATGTATCTAAATAGTGGCTTTCCAACCTTTTGGAATGTAGAAGATTCATTTTTAGGATGTTTATATTGATGGTTGATGGATGTGCAGAGAGCTATATATGATAGCACTGAACTTAAAAATCCATCAATTTGTTAGAATGGTATAATAGAAAGAAGCTATTTGAGGCTGGCAGTACTTTTAAATGAATTCCTGTGTTATCGACTCCATCAAGATCTGTATGCTGATTTTTTTCCATTGCTGGAAATTAAGCCCAGAGCTAGCTTGCACATGCTAGACCAACGTTAAACCACTGAGTTGCATCTTGCCCCCGTATATAATTTAAGAGCACAGATGAGAGTATGTACCCTTCTTAGTCTGTTGCCTGTATGTTTTTATCAGCACATGACTGTAGTACATGACTGTCACATACCTTTGCAGATCATGTGCAGTGACATTTTTACATTTGCAGAAACCCTGTGGCCACCCACACAGCCCTGTGGATATAAAGATGGGAGCCACTGATATAAAATGGTGAAAGATGCCCCCCAAAGCAGTATATCTGTTTCTGTTGGGTGATGTAAACTCTGAACCATGAACATTTCCTTGGAGGTAGCTGGGAACTCATACCTCATAACCGCACTCATGAGACTCAGGAGGAGAGTCCTGTGGCCCTCGTATCTCAAAGATAAACATGCATCTTTATCTCTCCATAGATTTTTATGACATCTGCGATGAGGACTGTCACGGCAGCTGCTTGGGCACCAGCCAGTGCACATGCTCTCCAGGAACTGTGCTGGGCCCTGACGGGCAGACGTGCTTTGGTAAGGAGTCATCAGAAGGTAGAAACAGGCTTAGAACCAAAGGACAGATGAAAATCTGTTCCGCCTCGGAGCTCTGTCATTGTCCCATTTTGTGTTTCTGAATGCTTGCAAGGTGTCTAACTTTTTAGTTCATGGCTAAAGCTCAAGCCGAACTTATGATGTGTTGTGAGTCGTCTAGAACAGTGCTGTCTCCCCCAGTAGCTGGCTGCAGAGTGCTTGCATTGTAGCTAGTGTGACCAAAGATCTGAATTTGAATTTCAAAAGTGATCCTTGGTTCAGTTATTAGAAAAATCGAAAATGTCTGGGGTAGTTTGAGTGCCTAAATTTTATCTGTCCTTACTTAAATATAGATCAAATATTTCTGATGGCAATTTGGCATAATAATTCAGGTGTGCTACAACTTCTTTTTTCTTTTTTTTTTTTTTTTTTGTCTTTTTCCTTTTTATCGGTACTGGGGATCGAACTCAAGACCACCTGCTTGCAAGGCAGGTGCTTATGCCGCTGAGCTAAATCCCCAGCCCCTACAACTTCATTTCAATCCGTGTCCAACACCTTGTATTATTTCTTATTGCTACTTCCAGGATTTCTTCAGGCAAACATTAAAACACAAATATGTGCTTGTTTACTAACCTTTTCTTTTTACATCGAAGGCAGCACAACATACACGTGTCTTCCTTAATTTATTTCAGTCATCTTTGCCTATTAAAACCTTGAATTCCTACCTGGGGGCGCATGTGCTTCACAGAGATTGTGAATCATCTGAAATTACAAGCAGATTTTTGTGGTTGTACGCATGTGCCAATTTTAGCTTTATTCAGTTTGCATTTATTTTTTGCATCCTGAATTATCGCATTAATTTTTAATTTGTATTAGTACATGTTTGCGGCACCTAATTATCGCATTCACCACAGGGAGCTGGGACATGTACATAACACATGTTGGTGCTTTTTAGTTCCCCTCCCACCGCCCCCTCCACTCCCTCCATGGTCCCCCTCACATTTCCAGAAGCCTTGTCTTCCTGCTTCTCATAACTCTTATGCTGCTGTTTTATTTACATTGTGGGTTTCTCACATGAGAGAAACCATGCAATATGGTTGTGTGTCTAGTTTATTTCATTTAATATTATTGCCTCAAGGTGTATCCATTTTTCTACAAATGACTCAAATTTATCTTTCATGGCTGAGTAGTACTCCACTATATGTAAATTCCACATCTTTTTTATGCATCCATCTGTTGATGGACATATAGGCTATTTCCAAGATTTAACTACTTTGAGTAGTACTACTATAGACATGGGTGTGCATGTATTACCATAATCTGATGTCCTGAACTCTTTCAGGAAGATACTTAGAAGGAGAATAGCTAAGTCAAATAGAAATTTCTAGTTTCAATTTTTTGACACATCTCTACAGCATTTGTTATTATTTGATTTCTTGATGATTACTGTTTTTCTAGGGTAAGATGGAATCTCAGTGTTATTTTAATCTGTATTTCTCTAATAGCCAGAGCTGTTGAACATTTTTCATGTATTTATTCACTATTTGAACTTCTGAGAAGTGTCTATTCACATCAGTTGCCTATTTTTTGACTGAGTCTTTTATTTGGAGGCTCTAATTTTTTTGAGTTCTATATATATTTCTAAATATTCATCTTCTGTCTAATGAATAGCTGACAAAATATTTTTTGTATTTGGTAGGATATCTCTTCACTCTGGGTTGTTTCCTTTGCTGTTCAGTTGCTTTTTAATTTGATACAACCACATTTGTTGATTCTTGATGTTATTTCTTGTGCAATTGGAGTTCTGAACAGAGAATCCTTGCCTGTGTCTATTTTACTATTTTAGCCTTCAGCATATTAATGTTTCTGTTTTAATATTTAGATCTTTGATTCATTTTTAGCTTCGTGCATTGTGAGAGATACAGGTCTAGATTCAATCTTTTGCATGTGGATAGCCAGTTTTCCCGCACCGCTAGTTTTCTCCAGGATAAATTTTTGGTCCCTTTGTCAAAGAACAGGTGGCTAAATGTGCCAGGGGTTGTTCCTTCATCCTCTCTTCTCTTCCACTGAGCCACATACCTGTTTTTATGCCGGTACCATCCTGGTTTTTGTTTGTTTTTGTTTTTGGGGGGAGGGTTGGTGCCAAGGATCGCTCTCACCATCTCACGTTTGCCAAGCAGGCCCTTACACCGCTGAGCTAAACCCCTGGCCTCCATCCTATTTTTATTACTGTAGTTTTGGAATATAATTTGAAATTTAGGATAGTGATGCTTCCTACTTTGCTAATTACCTGAAATTACTTTTGCTATTCTGGGTCTCTTCTGGTTCCATATGAATTTTAGGATTGTTTTCTTCTAATTCCATGGAGAATTCTGTTGATATTTTTATTGGGATTGCATTAAATAGATGTATGAGTTTTGGAAATATGATTGTTTGGACAATATTTGTTCTGCCTGTCCAGGAGCAGGAGATATCTGTTTTCTGATACCCTCTTCAGTCTCCTCTTCTCAGAGTGCTATAGCTTTTGTTGTAGAGGTCTTTCATTTCTTTTGTTAAATTAATTCTTAAATATTTAATTTCTCTTGAAACTATTATAAATAGTCTTTTTTCCTAATTTTTTTCTCATTTGGTTCATTATTGGTATACAGGATGCTACTGATTTTTGTGTGCTGCGTTTATATCCTGCTACCTTGCTGAATTTATTAGTTCAAGGGTCTTGGTGAAAGTTTTGTGTCTTCTATGTAAAGGATCCTGTCTTCTGTGACAAAGGATAGTTTGGCTTCTTCCTTTCCTGTATATCTCTTTTATGTCTTTTTATTTTAAAGAGAATAAAATTGAACAAAATGAAACAAAACACCGCCAATCAGTACAGAACAGTGAAAGCAATACAGGACTTCAAAACAAAACAACAGGGAGTCAACAATGGCTACCATAATGCCTCTTGCCTTCTTCAAAATAGCTGTCCATACCATCACACATAACAAAGTAAAATAGACAAATAAAAAT